TAGTGTTAGAAATTAAATGTTGTTAATATGAAGGGCGCTTAACTAAAGTGAAGTAATATTGCGCAATTTAATTTCTTAATTTTTTGACACAGTCTTAAGATCTTTTTGTACCTATATATTTCGTAGTCTGTATACTAATAGATCTTATACCTATAGTATGTATTAACTCAACAAATAGATCTTATATAGTAGGTCTATATATTTCGTAGATACATATCTTTAATCCACATGTAAATAAAGACTAAGTATTTAAGATAAGTATCATAAAATTAGACCAGGTTAAGATAATTTTTATTTAATGTTAAGATACATTACATAATCGAAAGTGCTAAGCCATTACAGCTAGCTGTAAAATAAACGTTTATCATAAAATGTCTGCCAGATGCTAACCTACATACACCGGCATGGAGTGATCGCCTCTATGATTCAAAGTTTAGTCATGGTTTTGCGATGAGGGATTGAAGTCCTGGATTTAATTCCCTGGGAAACAGAAAAATAAGACCTATTTGTCCTTTGGCCATGTAGAAATATTTAATTTCAGTAACTTATTTTGTGTTTACTTTAAAAGCTTTATTTATGAACATTTTAACACTTTAGTAAATTTAACACGTTAACACGATGTTAATAAATTTATTTGAGTAGCGACAAATTGCTTTTCCTAATAACACATCGACATGCAAATCTAGGATAGTATTTAAGTTACAACATCGAAATATTTCATAACTTATTACCGTGAATTTTAATCAACATTCATCATTGTAATTACTTGTAGCACGAAACTGTGACCGGCGAATTTAATATCAAGTAAGAGGTAAAATTACCTTTGCTCCTTTAATGCGTCTTATGTTTAAATATAACTCATTGTAATTAATTATGATTACATTTTAATGGCCAGGTATTAGATTTAACCTTTAAGTCAAGTCAAGAAAGTTTATGGATTCTTGGTATAAACATGGCGATAATTGCAAACGTCAATGTTCCCGCCAAAATCACTTAAGCGGGAAACATTATTAAGTAATGAATTGGTAACTATTGCAATTATTGATGTAAAATGGGAGGGTGAAATTCTTGCGCCCAGCGGCAAAGTGGTAGTAACACTATTTTAATTATGGGCTGGCTGGCTAAAACACACCAAGAGCGATAAAAAATATGAAGATCATTTACAAAAGATTACGCGTATACGTGTAGATAATCTAAAACGTAATATGATAAATAGTTATCCGGATGTACGTTATACTCTGTGGAATAATTTAAAAAATATAATAAACCCGTCATGGCGGCCGCTGTTCGAAATTCGAAAGACAGCTGTATCGGACGCGTTCGCAAAATTACTCATACTAATGGATTCGCCGCACGCAACTGATATATTTCATAGCGGCACTGACCTTCATGGAGTACAATCTGTGATTTTCCGTTTTTCAGTATTTATTTTGTAATAGACAAGCTTGGAGTTCACATGATGGTAGTTGAAATAACCCAGCCGTATGACATCTAAACAAGTTGCGCGCTCTACCTATTTTGGCTTTGGATATTCGGAAATCGCGGAAACGCGATTAACGTGTGCGATTAATGTGGACGGTGGTGCGTGATCCGGACGGAATTTCGATTTTCAATATTAATACCACCAATTTAATATCCAGATTTCCAGACGAAGTCCAATATGTTTCAGAAATTAAAAAATACTTAGTTAAGATTGTTCATTCATTTATTAATTCTCTGTTACTAGCCACCCTCTGTAAGTACCTGTATATTGAAAAGTGCATATGCTGACTTTCATTCTATGTATTTCCATTAATAATAGGTTGGTATAAAGAAGAATTGGTCGCTACACGACTAAGAAATGCATATTTTTGGCCCCAATGAATACTTTTTTATTTTACAGTGAAAATACAATTACATACAGTATTGTCTGTTCATCTTTATATCATACATACGTAATGTAGTTGGTAGTTTTATTGTTTTAAAATGAACCTTTTTTTTCTTCGTCCGTATTTTTGTTACTGAATTATTCAAACACTGACCGGCTTTATTTTTTTAACTCTAATCAGCTGATTTATGGAATTTATAAAGAATACACAAACTGGGATGGTATGAAACAACAAAAATGCATTAATCAAAACGCCAGGGCGTCAGAACAAGACAGATACCGGAAACAAATGAAATCACTTCTAAATATTTAAAATATTATTCCGAAAATTGGTTCAATGTGCAAGCTGTAGCGTGATATAACATTTAGTAAGTTTGTGTATATCACCGTTACAGTAAACAGGACAATATAAAAAATGAGTATTAGATGCCCAGTTTACAAACAAGTTTGATTTGAATAATACAAGTAGTAAAGGGATATCGATTTTATATTTTCAAAATTTATAGTTATTTATAGTCATAAATTTTTTTTCTTTTAACTTATCATTACAACCGAGATGTTGTTCGTCTTCCACCGCCTTCCTCTTAAAACTTGGACCATACAAAATGTCTCGAATTTAATGCATTCCGAGAAACGTTCCAAGCAATGAATCACGGTCAGTGCTCGGAAGTGTATTTTTATTCGAACATCGTAAAATGTTTTACACGCTTAACGGATTGGCTGATTTTAATGAGACAGGGAAAATATAAACTCTACTAATGGACTGGAATAATACTGCGACTTGGTTCGTTTGTCTGATGATAGAAATGGCTAATAATCAATGGGTCATAGGTTGGATCCCCAGCAGGTCCAACATATTTCAAAACTTTTCAATTTATAATTTTGCTGGACGTGCTGGAAACCTAGATATTCAACCACCGGCCACAGATGAAAAAGCCGCGAAGCTTAATCGCGATTCGGTTTTAGACTGTGGATTTCCGAATATCCAAAGCCAAAATAGGTCAACGGCGTATCTTGTTTAGATGCTATGGCTAGGGTTGTTTCCAAAATGACCCTTTATCCAGGGTCAACAGAGTATAAGTAGTAAAGGAAATTAAAGTACGTGAAGATTGCCATATGAAAGTTGGCGATAAAAAGAGTGACGGCGTGTCTCTTGCCAGTTCTTCTCGTTCTACGCCCTTGATTTAAGAACTGGTAGTTAATGTATATTTAGAGTCTTTGGTTTCCTGGTGTGATGTTCATAAGTACACCTAGTTACCTACGTGAGTAGATGATTTTGCGATAACTTGCACGCAACTGCTGTATCCGATTAAATTTAGGACTCGGTAGCTCATTTGAGTGTTGTTTTTCAATTTAATTAGACTTTTAATTTACAACTTATACATGTTAAATTATAAGTTATATATTTCTATATCTACCTTCACAATAAGCAAATTCTGATTTCATAATAGTTGAATTCATTTTCGCCTAAAATAATTGCGCATACATTAATATTTTTCACATGTTATTGCACATGAAGGCACTATATAATTTAAAAATCGAAAATAAATTGAAAAAATTTAATACGCAAGTGTTAAGGTTGAAGTTTGCGCGAGAGGTGCATGTATCAATAAGTTGAAAAAATTCGACGATGAGGTGTAGGACTCGGTAGCTCAATTGGTAGAGCAAAAGCACGGAAAGCTGACGATGCCAGTTCAAGTCCTGCCCGAGTCGAAAATGTTTTCAATTTATTTTCGATTTTTAAATTAATTGCGCATATTTATTTTCCTCTTTATTTCTTATCAGGTTTTTTGTTATTAGGCCACTCTGCCTCTAGCAGCCCCATTTCTTATTTGGAAATGCAACTTGTTAACAAATCAATGACCTGTAGATCGGCGCTTTGTGATACCTTGACGATAATCTTTACAACGATGGCACTTGAAATGAGTGAATCGGCTTTGTAGTAAGTACTTAGTAACTACTATGATGGAAAACATAGCAGCGTTGTATATGAATACCTTTAGATATAAGCATTTTCCAGCCGATTATTTCGACGAAGTCAAAGTTACTCTTCAAGACGTTTCGGAAGCTATACAGTAGCCGTGGTCTTCCAGGCATCCGAAATGTCGGGCCGGATTATTATTCACTAGTAAAATTGCGTTTTAACCGTAAAAATAATTTATTTAGTGTGTACTAAAGACAGTACTGAAATGTTTTGTTTTATATTAGGGTTTTAATAAAACTGGCTAGTTTTTTTTTTATTTCGTCCGTAATGTTTGTCAACTCGTAAAGTCGGTCCAGGTTCTCACTAATGACCCACCACACACTATAGTTTCTCTAAGCTACCGAGACACATATCTGATTTCTAGATTCGAACGTAAAAAGACTTTTGAAACCTCATATAGGTATTTACTATAACTTATAAACTATAGTAATACATATAACTGCGGCGGGTTAATTCAGTTTTTATTAAAGGTCGTTGGAAAATATATTTGTTTCTACAACGTGTTCTCGCGTGACAAAACTTCCGCGGGGAGTACTCCGCGTATTTTGGAAACAAACACGTGTTTATGTCCAACAGGGCTTATAAAACCAGAACTAAGTAGATATTCATGTCTTTTATGATAGAAGCGGACAGATAAGCTTGGGGTTGACTAGATGAAACATGAATAACCCAAGCCATATACATCAACAACTAAACTAGATACGCTGGCGGCCTATATGAACGAATTAAGGTAGGCAAATGTCGAAAAAAAAAAAATTATCTTTAGGAGCTTCTGTTGTGTTGGTTCAACCAAAATAGTATAAAATAATGATTTCTCTTCTAATGATCTAAAAAATATCCGTCGATAGTATATGGGTATCATTTAATATTAACTCGCAAGAACTACGGGATAATTTAAAAAGTCGAAGAGGTTGTTTGTAATAAATAATATGACGCCCAAGTAACTTCACGCGGACAAAGTCGCGGGCACAACTAGTATGGTATTTTTTTTTGTGTATTAAATTGTGTGTTATGTTATTTATCTATCATTACCTGATATCATGAATGAATTATCTGGAGGTATATATGGCTTTTTATTAATACGTATAATAAAAGTCTAATAAAACGTTAAAATATTGACCTAAATATTATCGTATTTCCCAGGTCAAGATGAGTGGTGAAGCAGAAGACACAACACCGACGCCCACGGCGGCTCAGCCGGATGGCGCGGGGCCTCTCATCCAGGTCCCCGTTGCCCCACGAAAACCACCACGTCGGGGCCTCAAAGTTCAGCCCGAGAGGCCGAAGCGAGCTCTCTTCTGTCTCACACTCAAGAACCCATTGAGGAAACTATGCATTGACATTGTCGAATGGAAGTATCCTTTAAAAAAAAGCTGAAGATGTTTACGCAAATGTGCATTAAAGAAAACTAATAACGGTTTAAAACACGAAATATATCCCATAATTCATTTTTAAATACAGCTCAAGTCAATACTTCAGCGCTAATTTTGGTACTTTTACTTAATAATTGCTTATAAAACGTATTATAACGCAGTATTTATCTTACAACTGTTAATGAAAGCTTCCTAGAGTAAATACAGATTCGTTACGTAACGCGTTATGGTGCCAAACTATTTAATATAATTTTCAATGATAAATAGTGTAACTAGATTTAAGTTATATCTTTCTTTAAATTTGATTAAACTCTCTAAAACTTCAAAACGTTTAATAACCTTAATTTCTTATTATCTATATTCATCATATTATAATCCTCTGGTGAAATATAACATTGTAATGATGGAGTCGATTTTCGTAAAGGCATCAAACGAATGTTGCATTTTAGCAGCATTAGATTTTGAAAACGTGTGCCTTAGAAGATAAAAATGCAACCTCAAGAACAATAACCTTATAAAATTCGTTATAAACCTTGGCGGTACGCCAAGCGGCGGCATGAATGACAGAAATATTTTGGAAATTGATCGGGAAATACCTTCTTGTTGAATAAACAAAAATTCCGTATATTTTACACGTTCTTGCGTTTGCACTAATTGGCACGCTCGTTCTAATTGAGTCATAGTTTCTGAATCGGGATTAATCATGCTTCGAGAACGAATATAGCATCCAATATACGCATTGGGCTTTAAAATATATAGACCGTGAAGGAATGTAATTACTGGATCGACTGAACTTGGAAATCGGCAGTTCGTTAATATTTAAGTTTTCGTATTAAACGGTCAAAACCGAATCTTATTATACGTTACGGAAGGTTATACTTTATAAAACATCGCGCTGTGAGCGAAGAAAAAGCGGGCAATGTGGGAAAAAGAGGAAAAAAATATTAATCTCCGCGAGTTTCCGATGCGCTGCGAAAATGATTCTAAAACCTAAAAAAATATCTAGAAAATAATGAATTGTCTTTAAACGATCGCTCGCGATGATAGTCGCGTCCCGTCGTTCTTGAAAATTCTTAAAAGATATGTCTTATCTATCGCGGACACTTTTATATCATTTAAAGAAAAATTATTCTCTTATACATATTTTTTGTTTTGTCGAATCATTTTCGCAGTATACGCAACGAAAACCCCTCAAAGATGATAAAATTTTTCCGTTTGTTCTACATGTCCCACTGTTTCTTTGCTCCTATTAGATGCAACACAATGTATTTATAGCCTACTATCTGTACCCGCGACTTAATTCGCGTGGAATAGTGATTTGGGGTAGAAGTTTTAATTATTTAAGCTGCTTATTAATTTATGTAATTGCTCATATATCGAAGGTTATATATGTTGCCTTACTTTGCCGCAACACTCTCACCTCACATCACTCCTACTCTAACTCCCACTCTCACTCCCACCCCCACTCCCAACAACCCCCTTTTGCGCAATAAAAAGTAGCCTATGTTCTTTCGCAGGGTCTAAACCATCTGTGTACCATTTTATTCAAATCCGTTCAGTAGTTTTGGCGTGAAAGAGTAACAGACAGACAGAGTTACTTTCCCATTTATAATATTATATAGTAAGGTAAGCCTTCCTCGATAGATACTCTAACCATCACAAAATAATTTTTTGATTTAAACCTGTAGTTTCTGAGATTATTAGCGTTCAAACAAAAAAAGTGTAGTCGCGTTAACAGAACCTGGACTAATGTTTGGAAAATCAGAATGTTCCACTCAGAAAATGAAATGTTACATCTGCTACTAATAACTCAATGAAAAGAACCGCAACTCATTATTGTAGCGAGAAATCTGCGTCTTGTTGAAATATTTAGACGTCTTACGTTATATTTAGCCACTTTCTAGGGAAAATAAATATTGCTCATAATATAAACAATTGATGGATTAATAGATCATAGAACTCTGGTTAATTTACAAAAACAAGATTTAGGTTCCTCTTTAACGTACTGCTATCAGTGGCGTAGCTATCGTAGGGCCCGGTGGTGCAGTGCACCAGGGCCCTGGACCTCGAGGGGCCCTTTGCGCTTTAACCTAAGCTTTGAAAAAAGCGTGTTCGCCAACTCGCCAGCTCCTGAAGCTAGAAGGAAGAGGGGGTGAGATCCCGATTCTTTCTCTGTACCGGGGCCCTTGCCCATTCAGATACGCCACTGACTACTATTATATTTTTAAGAAACGTCCTTCAAGAAAGTAATTATATATGTAGAAAATAAACAAAAAAGTTAAGTACTCATTAATTTTCAGTACATGTATTATTTTTTTTTTTGTTAAGACTTAATTTATAATTTGGACCGCGTTTCTGTATAGCACAAATCACAACTTCTACATCGTTAACATGCTTACCTATTAAGACTAACATATTTTGTCTATAATAGTTAACTTTCAGATACACTTTTACGAAACAGATGGCGCTAGCGTAGCAGTTTTGACATTATAGACACCTCCCTCAAACCACGACTGCAAAGCATCCGAACGTCATGTCGTAAAAAATAAATAAATGTAAATTTAAATATATCGACATTGCAACGGTTAAAAGTGTTTTATTCAAAAGACTGATATAGATTTTAATTGTTACGAGTTCGTAGTATCGTTCAAGTATATATGTGTACATTATACATACACGATGTAGGTGTATGATGAATCCTTCATATATAAAAATTCATTGAAATAAGTTTATCCGTTTTAGAGCAGTTCACAAACGCTTCGACTAAAAATAATAACAAAAGCCATCGATTGTGGGTCGTGTTTACATTCTTGATTCCGTTAATATTAGATATTTCGGTCGGTCGATGTTTAGGGTAATGTTACGCAACTTCCGGACTGAAAGTAGAAGATATATTCTGTCTATATGTATGATTAAAATTGGCTATCCAGAAAATACTATCGAAAACGCATGATATTTTTTCTATGATAAAGGAGGGCAGAGGCATAAGAAAATACCCTAGACATAAAACATCTAGACAAGACCTATTTTGGCTTTGGATTATCAAATGCCAATGTCATGTTGCGAACTTTAACGGTTTAAAACGCGATATATTAAACTTATTAAAAATGATTTTAAACTTCAGTATTCAGCATATCAGCAATTCGGCAGTATTTGATTTATTTATTCACATTTAATAATCTATGGTAGTTATTTATGAGTCGTTTTGTGACAAAATTCGCAACTCGCAGAATCGATTCACAACGCATGGATAGGTTCATGCAACATTGGCAGTTGGCCACCTGGATTGAGATTAGTTGTGCTCGCCCGACATTGACGTGTATGAGCGTGTAGGTCATAGACAAATGTTACTAGGTTTTATATCAAATTCCGGGGGTTTATTCACAAAAAGGTGAAAATTAACCTACCTTTATTACTATTAACATTGATTTATTGGTGATTGATATATCGTCTATAGTTTACGCAAATAGAACATATTTAAACATACTTTTAACGGTTTTAAATCTGCTCGAATTGTAGTTAATTTATTTACAATTTTTAATTACATAGACGTTACGTTCACGATGAGATTGAAGATGGAGGGTATTCCTAATGTTAAAATCAAATCTGTCTACCGCCATCTGTTTCCTCGAAGTTGGTATATGGAGAACTAGCTGTGCCAGCGATTTCGTTTGCGTGGAATAGTGACTTGGGGTAGAGTTTTAATTTATTTAGGCTGTTTATTAATTTATGTAATTGCGCATTTATCGCAGCCACTCTATGTTTTAAGTGCTACTTTGCCGCAACACTCTTACTTCATATCACTCCTACTCTCACTTCCATTCCCACTCCCGCTTTTAATCCCAAAAAGCCAAAGAAGAAAGTTTCAGTTTACTAGCTTCAAAAACCACGAATTTCCATACAAACTTTTACCCTCCCTTTAACTATTACCCCTTACAACCCCATTTTCGCAATAAAAATGGCTTATGTTCTTTCTCAGGGTCTAGACTATATGTGTACCAAATTTCATTCAAATCTGTTCAGTAGTTTTGGCGTGAAAGAGTAACAGACAGACAGAGTTACTTTCGCATTTATAATATTAGTAAGGTTCTTGCTGGGGCTTATAAAAATGACTCACAGTGTCCTCTGGCTTTTTGCAACATATGGTTTATAATATAGGATATCTTTTTATCCGTAGTAAAAATAAATTGTAAATAAGTTGACTAATACATTCTGCGTTAAAAGGTTTTTTTATTTAAAAATCAATTATATTTTGTATGTGAATAATTTCGCTTTCCACTATTAGTCCGTTAAAAACTACTAGTATTTTACATCGTTTGGTTCCTTAACTTACAAATCAGCCACTTAATATAATTTCTCAAATATATTCTTTTTGCATTACATCTTACTGTTGATGCTATCGTATCGTCAAAAAATGAAGCTATGTAAAAATCTGAACTGACTGAAATCACGCGCAAAGATGGTTTATATAAAACGCAGCGTTTACTTCACTTTTTAAGTCAATAATTGAGTTATATGATTTTTGCCAATTTCAAAAGCAACCTTAACTCAGACCAGACCATTCGAATGGATGATTCTGACCACAATATTTGCAAACTGCATAGCGCTGGCTGTCTACACTCCATATCCAGCCAGTGATTCTAACTACACCAACTGGGTTTTAGTAAGTACAAATATTTGATATTATGAGAATATTGATTTGAGAACTGATAGTAAATGTTATGATAGTTATGTACATCATTTAGCGACAAGAGGAGTGGCGGCGAGCTTTTTGCCGGCTCTTCTCGTTCGTTTTAGATCCTTGATTTGAACAATGCAGTTCAAAATGTCCAATATTTTTTTCGCATAAATGTCTTACCGAGAAACTGTTATCGATATACAATAGCTTGCTTATTAAAATTTGTGCAAACGCAAAGTCAAAAATGTAAATCATTTATTCACGTAGGTAACCACGTACAATTATGACCTCACCAGTTTAAAACTAAAGACTCTAATTTGCTGCCAGTTCTCAAATCAAGGATGTAAAACGAACGAGAAGAGCCGGCAAAAAGCTCGCTGCCACTCCTCTTATCGCTAAATGATGTAAATAACTAACGAACACAAGTTGAATTGACAGATAGTTGAAAGTAGTACTTGTAGTCTTGATAAAAAACGATATTTTTCCTAATTTATTTATTTCCATTACAGGAGAAGATTGAATATATATTTCTGGTGATATTTACGGGAGAATGTGTGATGAAGATTATAGCGTATGGGTTTGTTATGCACCAAGGGTCGTATCTACGAAATGGATGGAATTTACTCGATTTTACGATAGTTGTTATAGGGTAAGATATTTTTTTTGTTTAACATTCTATTATATAATTCTCTATAAATAAACACTGATAACGGTTTAACAAAAAAGTTAATTAGGTTACTTGTGTTTAATTATGATCCGTTATTTAGGAAGTCACGGCTTACGCGTTTTAAACCGTTAAAAGTGTTGCAATAAAAGTGATAGCGAATAATAAAATATAAATAATAAAGTAAGTTTGAACTGTGAGAAAACCAGATGTACGAGTTTATCTCTATGACAAACTCTTAATATAATTGCCTGGAAGAGATTACTGCATAACACCGTCCCTAGCTAATATTGGTCCATATGGTATTTTGAAATCTTCAATACAATATTTTGTGTAATAGTATATTAATATATGAAAAGTAAAATATTTTTCACATGCACATTAAGGCGTTATATAGATTAAAAAAGAAATTACGAGACGGGCAGCACTGGAGCCGGTATCCACAGCGTTCCGTGCTGTTGCTCTAATCACTAGAGCTACTGTGTCCTACACGCGAATTTTTTTACCCTATTGATACATGCACTTCTAGCGTAATAAATTTTTTTAAATATAGAGCATAAATTATAAATTAATTCTCTTTATTTCAGTATGGTAAGCACAGTACTATCAAGTATATTCAAAGACGCGTTCGACGTAAAAGCACTGAGGGCGTTCAGAGTTTTACGACCGCTCAGGCTTGTCTCCGGAGTACCAAGTATGTATTAAGTTCAACATATTAAATCCCGTCATCCCAAAATGCGGCATGGGGCAAAATCATTATCATGATAATTACGTCTGTACTCTGCTATTCAAAATGATTTATTATCCCCGGAACTACAACCCATGGCCGTATTGAACGTGTTAGATTTTTTTACGTAATAAGAGAGAGAGATACCTAATACAATAATTATAGGCATTGGTTTATATGAGATTTTAAGGATATTTGAGAATAACAAGAAGATTTAATGTCAAAGACTATTCTATTTCGTTAAAGTTATATTTAATATTCCCCATAATAACGGCAACACATTTATTGTATAAAAACGTCTAGGAATCTAACAAATAATGGTACCCCAATTATATATATATTTTGAAGATATTTATCTATATATTACACAAGGTTACGATACTTAATTGACATATATTGATGCCAATTCAATATAATAAAAAGTACATAATATATCACAACCTATTTATTACAATATAATAATGTACATCATACCTGAACCATCCAATGTTCAACCAACGTTCGCATTATAGGTATTAATACAGATATACGATTTTAAACATATTCTGAAACCTCTAACGTTCCAAACAACGTTCCACCAACGTTTACCGTGCGATTTCTCAAGAGCAACTGCTTTTCCCGCTTTACAGCGCACCCCCTTTTATACAATACAAGACACAAACAACCGACCAGGTGTTAGCCTGACGTCATCGAATAACACGAACATTACTTTTAAACATTTTGTAAACTACCCGCAGTTATACATCACAAAAACAATGATCTGAATCTGTCAAACGCAATACCTAATATTGCATTTAACCATAGAGCCACAGACGCAGTCAGAGTAGTTAAGAATATTAATATATTGACAAAAAAGTGAATTTGGCGATGTGCCATTTGGTTTATTTATTCAAATTTTACAAACATATCAACACAAAAAGGCGGGAACTCATTCGAGTTTTTTACGCCTCCTAGGACATTACATAAATTTATACTAAAACAATTGTATACTAAGTAGTACAGATTATCAAATATTAAAAACAGTTTGATTTATACCAGATTATACAAGAATACGCATTTTCAATTTGCTATAAACAAACAAATCACTACTTTAGTTAGAAGGCCTTTGGTGGGGAGTAGAATTTTTTTAATTTGTTTTGTATATATGTAGTAGTAAGTGATTCTTTAATACGATTTGGTAATAAATTAATTTCGGTACTACATAGTTGTGTTCTTTTACCATATAGGTTATGGTGGATTAAACTTTTTACTTCTAAAATACCAGTGTCTTTAGGAGATTTGCATAATAATATCGTTGAATTAGCCAAACTTTTATTGTGTGTAACAGGATAACTTACTACGTGTTTCAGGTCTTCAGATAGTTTTAAATTCAATATTAAAGGCGATGGTGCCGCTGCTGCACATCGCGCTGCTGGTGATATTCGTGATCATCATCTACGCTATCATTGGGCTGGAGCTCTTTTCGGGAAAGATGCACAAGTCTTGTTATAGTAGATTGACAGGTAACTCTTTGCTCTACAGTTGCATTGAAATAACTGGCGTTGTTCATTTTAATTTTATAAATACACTTGATGTGTAAGTGACTTCGTTCGCGTATAATAGTTATTTTAGGCGGTAAAATTCAGTTTTTCAACTAATCTCCAGGGCTTTATAATTTATAGCGTTCGCGTCCAGTCGTTTCTTCAACTTAATCTTAAAAGATAGACATATACTGTCGCGGGCATATTTTTAGATCATTTTAAGAGAATTCATTCTTTCACACATATTTTTTGGTGTCTAGAACCATTATCGCATCTAACGCAATGGAATCACTCAAGCATTAATAATTTTCCCCGTTTGTCCATATTTTTTCCTGAGATAAGCGCGTTCAAACAAACTCTTCAGCTTTATAATATTATAAAGGCGGCATATGCGGAAGCTAAAATACCATTTTGGTCCTGTGGCTATTTACTTCTATCTTATATATTGTTAAAATTTACCTAGTTTCGGCAGCATTAATTTTAATAAAAATATTTTCAAAAGTCTTCTGTTCATTAAAACTCAATGGAACAAATATATTTGTGTTCACAGATGAAATAATGGACGACCCTCACCCGTGTGACCTGGACAACGGCTTCAACTGCTCAAAACTTGGTGATGATATGGAATGCCGCGAGGGTTGGATAGGACCAAACTTTGGGATCACAAATTTCGATAACTTCGGATTATCTATGCTGACGGTGTTTCAATGCATTACGCTGGAGGGTTGGACGGATGTGATGTATAATGTAAGTTTTCATGATATAATAGAAGCGCTATAGACCTATTTAGGCTTATACGTAGTATATATTATGTACCCGGATAGAATATAGACTTCACTACCTTGCATTTAACATATTTAGAAATTCTAAATATGATTTAGGAACATACCATATTTGGGGCTCAAGCCCGTGATTTTACATTTTTGAAGTCTCAAGTATTTCCTTATGTTTTCTTTAATATGTACAAATTTATATATTTAATAAGAAGAAGAAGAAGTAGGATAAGAAGTACTTTTTCTCTTTCAGATACAAGATGCGATGGGCAACAGTTGGGAATGGGTGTACTTTGTGTCGATGGTCATCTTGGGTGCATTCTTCGTCATGAATCTTATTCTCGGTGTGTTGTCTGGGTAGGTTAAATATTAAATACTGTCTATAGTTAACACGAGTAGTACACATTTAAATAAAACACTTTAACGGTTTAAAACGCGATATATTAGTTAAACTTATTTGGAAATGATTTTTAACTTCCGCCCGACGTTTCGGATGCTTTGCAGCAGCCGTGGTCACGGGGAGACTAAAGATGGAGGATGTCTCTGACGTCAAAGTAAAAAACGTCGGGCCGAAGTTAAAAATCATTTCCAAATAAGTTTAACTAATATATCGCGTTTTAAACCGTTAAAGTATTTTATTTAAAAGGTTAAATATTATCAAATTGTAAAACTATTTACGTTGCACATTATAAATTCACATTTTTGACTTTGATAATTACAGAGAATTCTCAAAAGAAAGAGAGAAAGCAAAGAACAGAGGTGACTTCCAGAAGCTTCGAGAAAAACAGCAGTTAGAAGAAGATCTTAAGGGTTACCTAGATTGGATAACGCAGGCAGAATATTTGGAGCCTCTTGCTGATCAACACGATCCTATAGATCAGAAGAGAGATTATGGTATAGGTAAATTATCCTTATAAGTTAACTAACGACCCGCCCCGGCTTCGCTCGGATGGAATGCTAATACTGAATACACTACAGAAAAACTGTGAACGTTTTATATAAAAAAACATAGTAGCCCACATCATATGCTGTAAAGGACCATATAGATCTATATTAAATCAACAATGTATTTAATTGGATAAGGGTAATGCGGTATTAGTTAAAATCGCTTTGAAAATTAGCCATTATTTGTCGTCTAAGTAAATTAGCCTATTAGCCACATCGCACGCACTGCCGAACAAGTTTAACAAAACTAAATTTTTATCATTATAGTCTTATGTATAACTAATTTTCAGTAATAAAATAAGACGGAAAACTAACAGCGTGATATCATCTATGATTGCAAAAGTTACAGAGTATATAAATTGTTAGAGAAACGGTGTATTGGTTGGTCGCAGGTTTGAGGTCTATCTACGTCGACTTTCTCTAATGCAAAGTGTTTTATTTAAATGTGTACTACTCGCTTGAACTATAGAGAGTATTTATTGTAAAGTATTTTTAAATCTAAGTTAATACATATTATTTTAGGGCAAACTACAACGGAGCATGATTCTACAGACCATTTAGGAATAGAAACAAATGAGCAACAAAAAGTGTCTATTGGAAAGTTATGGAAGAAGGATTTTGATAAGGTGCAGTATATAAATATAAAAACTTATCCTGTACATGAAAAGCAATGATGGTAACTTCATACAAACTTAGTTTTTTTGTAAATAAAAGTTATAACTCGGAAAGCCCGGTGGAAGAGTAACTCAACCACTTAACACCAAAATTAGTTAATATCAATATTCAATAGAAATAGAATGCTGACAACCGGTGACATAACGCGTTACCAAACGAAACGCTTTACACTCATAAAAGTTATCACTTCAAAAATAATAAATAAAAAGATAATGACTACTGTAATTTTCAATACAGGTCAACCGTCGAATGAAGCGTGCTTGTCGACGAGCTGTCAAGTCCCAAACATTCTACTGGCTCATCATAGTTCTAGTCTTCCTCAACACTGTAGTATTAGCTAGTGAACACTACCAGTAAGTCTAGTTTTGATTTATTATTATAGAAGTTTTCTCTCAACAGTAATTAAGATAATTCGAAGCAACGAAAAAAGGCACTAGCCTTAAAGCAATTCACCTAAATGAGTTAATAGAGCATTGTCTCTTTCTCACAGCCTACAATAAACAAGGACGCTTTTCCAATTCCCTATTAACTCATTCAGTGATTAGACTTTGTAAGTGATTGTGCTTTTCTAAATTAGTATTTCTTTCAATATATTGGTTTTATTAAGTACTAGTTAATTTAATTTAAATAAACATATGGTCACGGGGAGACGTCTTCGCTACTTCGGCTGCTGCAAAGCATACGAAACGTCCGGCCGTAGTTAAAATAATCTTGAAATAAATTTAACTAATCTATTTCGTGTTTAAATAGTAAAGTGTTTTATTTCAATGTGTACTACTCGAATAAACTACAGACAGTATTGAATTATTTTAGCCAACCTCAATGGCTGGATTATTTTCAAGAATATGGAAACGCCATGTTCGTGGCATTATTCACACTTGAGATGTTGGTGAAGATGTACAGTCTTGGATTACAGGTTAGAATAAATATTAAAAGTAATTTATTATTTATAAATTTGTTTGAGATCGGAATATAAATATGATCGTATGATTCATTCGTCTCATGTTACAGGGTTATTTTGTGTCACTTTTCAACCGGTTCGACTGTTTCGTGGTCGTGGGGTCAATTAGTGAGATGGTGCTCACCAAGACTGAAGTGATGCCACCTCTTGGAATCTCCGTGCTTCGTTGTGTCCGTCTTTTAAGGGTGTTTAAGGTTACCAAGTAGGTGTTCCATACTTTCCAAAATAAGTTGTATTGTAAGCATGATGATATTGTTTGTATAGGTACTTCAAATACTTAAACTACTAAAACTTAAAATACCCCAATATTACAAAAATACTTGCATGTTTTTGAACTGACTTAGCATCAGAGGAATTAGACAACTGCGTTACGAACCTGCGAATCCAGTCTTAAGTTGTTTTTGTCGGGTCTTTAATCATTTTATTTTGTATTATATATACTAAAATATGTTTATATATTTTTCAGGTATTGGCGATCTCTGTCTAATCTTGTCGCTTCTCTTCTTAACTCGATTCAGTCGATTGCGTCCCTTCTACTTCTGTTGTTTCTTTTCATCATGATCTTTGCTCTCCTGGGGATGCAGGTTTTTGGCGGAAGATTCAATTATGACCCTGTTGAAGAAAAGGATAGACATAACTTCGACTGTTTTTGGCAGGCGTTGTTGACTGTCTTTCAGGTAAGTACTATTCTCCTATTATAAAGAGACGCAATTTTAAGAAAAATCATCAATCTTTCTATTTCTATATGTAATAAAAACATTTTTGAAACTTTCAAACTCGAACAACATAATAGGCTATACGAATTAGTAAGGTTAGTATAAAACATCTGAATCGTCGGGTTGTACTTACAAATTAATCAATTACAATACTTTGTGTTAATAAACCCGTCAAAAGTTTTGCATTTAATATTTCACCAGTTCATTTTTGTAGATTTTGACCGGTGAAGATTGGAATGCAGTAATGTACGAAGGTATCAAGGCTTACGGTGGAGTCGGTACCGTTGGAATTGTCGCTTGCATTTACTTCATAATCCTATTTATTTGCGGCAACTGTATCCTTTTTAACAACTCTATAAAATGTAAAATAATTGCTATCAGCTAATTGTATAGCATCATCCATACCTTGATAAAAAAATATTATTTCCTAATCCTAGACCAGATATTCTACTTAACGTGTTCTTGGCCATCGCTGTGGATAACTTAGCAGATGCCGAATCATTAACGAATATAGAAAAAGAGGAAGGCGTAAGTATTAACGCTTAAAAAGTAACTGTAACTTTAGCATGAACAACTAAAAAAAGTTACAAGTTATAGTCATTTATTACTAGCTATAATTCTGATGTTGATTATGTATTTTAGCAAGCACCAGAAGAAAAGGAGGGAGGTAGTGTTGTGGCAACTGAGGGAGGTCAAGCAGACACTGATGATGAATATATTCACGATGAAGATGTATATACAAGTGACAAGTAAGTGGTTATAAAATTTTTGGCCACACATTTGTGGTGTCGCTTTATAATAACTTTCTATTTTGAAAATATTCTTAGTTCTGAGAGAGAATATGAAGGATCGGAAGGTGAGAACCAAGAAGAGTTAGAAGGAGAAGAGACTGATGAAAGATTAGATGAAGAAATTGATGAAAGAATAGAAGAAGAACAAGAACCAGAGGAAGATATGGTTGATAACATCCAAAGAAATCACATAGGTGAGCTTATTTATAGGAAAAGTTTATAAAAGTATTTAAAATGTTTTTCAGAGCCTTCCTATGCGTTATTTACTCGTGAAATGTGATTTACAATTGAAGCTGACGGCGTAAACTTTGTGAAATGAGCATTTTTTTATAATAATTTTCACGATTTCCTACTTTGCTATTTGTTCAGTTTTTATTATATTTTACAACCCACACTTTGAAACTATTAGTGAAGCTAACCGCCGTAAATAGTGCATACAGAATTCGAAGACGAACCCCGTTTGAAACGAAAGCCGACCACATCATCGGCTCGCCCACGCAGGCTCTCTGAAGTAGATATCCAGAACTCGGCGAAACCGATCCCCGATGCTTCCTCATTCTTCATATTTTCCAAAACCAACAGGTTAGGGATCGCGGTGGATATTGCTTCAGTTTAGATGTTCTCTCTGCATTCAAACACCTTTACGCTTTATAATTTCACTGTTTTGCTCTTGCTTTATTTATTCTATATGATCACTTTCTTTTTCTCATTTATCTTCTATCGGAACACTAAGCACAAGAGTAGCATCAGCTAGGAACAGTTAGGCATGGAGTGGTAATGAAACATTTAAGTAGATATATTTTTATCAAAGACAATGGCGAAGAAGAGGAAGGAAAGCTTGTAACGGCTAGACCGAGGCGGATGTCAGAATTGAATATGCCGAATCAGACGCCGCCTATACCGAACGCTAGTAGTTTCTTCGTATTTTCACCGACGAACAGGTGAACGATGACCCAGTGTCTCATTGTTAGTGATTGGCGTCATCTAAAAACTTCCAAGTGTCCTAAATTTCTCTCTTGTTAAATATTTCCACAATGAGATCACGGGGTATTGGGTGTGTCGTAGTAGAGGAAAATAGATTTGGAATCCTAGCATGGGTATCAGGACAGATGTTCTAGCGTTTTGATTTCCCAGTATCAATATAGAGTAGTATATTTATGTATGCATGCTAGTTTTTAGACGGTTTATTGTATATTTTTAAAGTGTTTGCATGCTTATTTAACTGTACGTAGTCTATTATCTTTAATAACAAGTAATTTGTTAGCGTTTAATTTTATTTCTTAATAAATGGAATGCTTATTATTAACGCTTAATATTTAAATAAACACTTTTAACGTTTTAAAACGCGAAGTTTAGTTTGATAGTAACCCGCCGTTTCAGGCGCATATCAGGAGGCTTATTTATTATTCTCGTTTTAAACCGTTTAACTTGTTTTATTTAAATGTGTACTACTCGCGTTAATTACAGACAAAATTTAACGCTTAATATTTTACTCCTTCTGTTTCACATATCTAAAATGTCGTCAATGTGTGATTTTGTCTGTAAATGTCTTCATGATTTTTATTACTTGCAATAGGTTTCGCGTACTTTGCTATAAGATGTCAGCGTCGTCGACATTTGGAAACATTATCTTGGTGTGCATTATGCTGTCGTCTGCTATGTTAGCTGCTGAAGACCCATTAGATGCAGCTCAGAAAGGCTTTAGGAATTACGTAAGGATTTCATATAAATCTACATTATTAAATAATAGAAATAATTCACCTACAAGTTTTATTAAATTATCAAAAAAATCTCGCTTATCTGTATATAAGTACATACTCTAAAAGTACTACACAGATCTTTTTGCGGTTTTCAAGAATGGATTCAACTTGATACTACAAATAGGCTTTATTGAAATTTATTGTCAGAAAATTTAGTAAGTAACAGAATAAACTAATTAATCCCTAAATATTCTAATAATATACTAAAGTAATAGATAGATAGCGGAGCTATGTTTAAGATTTAAGATGGCATGGTTTCTTTAGTCTAGATCTATGTACAAAGGAACAATAAATACATTTTCTATAAGTAATATATTAATTTGACCGCCTCTGTAGCTATTAAACGTGTCTAGTGTTGATCAGCGCGAGAGGTCTTGGGTTCGCATCGGTAGATAAAATGTTTCGGTGGACGACAGAAGTCTGATCAACTACTTGTTTGTAAATGTGGCCTCCGTGGAATTTTTCAAGCTATTATCATGACCGCCTCTGTACTAAAGGTTAAACATGCCTAGCATTACATTAAGCGCGAGAGATCTTGGGTTCGTATCGGTAACAGTAAAATGTTTCGGTAGGATAGCGTACAAAAATCTGACAAAATTTGCCCATTGAAGAACCGATGAGTGTGATGACTCAAAAATGCGTTCACGCCATACTCCACAAGGGTAAACGTTATTTCATTTTGACTTTCTAAATTTTCAGCTCCTCAGTCAATTCGATATCTTCTTCACGGGTATCTTCACATTGGAGCTGTTCCTGAAGCTGATAACTTATGGTCTAATCCTTCACGAGGGGTCCTTCCTCAGGTCCGCGTTCAACGTGCTCGACATGCTTGTCGTATGCGTTTCTCTAATTTCAATGAGCTTTAAGTAAGTATCATTATTAAAAAATAAAAATCAAAATATTCGAATCAATAATATTAGAATTACGTTTATATTTTAAAATTTCCTAATTACATTATCATTATCGTCAATGACCTCTTCCAACCTTTTCCGCAACTTACCTTCTGCTCCTCGTTCCATTTCTGGAATTTCCTTTCTGCTTTCTTTCATCTTTTTGAGGTTTTCTCTTCTTCTGTGGTGAAATGATGGCGTATAATATTATATAAACAACATAACCTATATCGTACGGCTTTTTAAAATTAACTAACACACTTGTTTTTTAAGTTCGTAAGCTTTTCGTCCGTTTTAAGAAATATTTTGGTCTTACGAATCATAAAGTTATTAAAATCAATGATGTTTTTTTTTCAGATCGGGTAGTATATCAGTGGTGAAGATATTGCGAGTCTTCAGGGTGCTGAGGCCACTTAGGGCCATCAACAGGGCCAAGGGTCTGAAGGTCAGTATTTTTTTTTGGTCATATATGCTATACAATTTAAAGTACAAAACAAAACATAGAGAGTATCAAAATGAATTTAAAAGAACCTTACTATAAAAAAAGGTTTATGTAAAAAAGGCGATTTGATTATCGTTACTAATTATGACATTGGTGAAAAATTCTCATCTAAGTGACATAAAATTTACTACGTTAATACCTAAACTATGTCTGATTTCAAATGTATGAAGCTTTCGTGGACATCTTGCTATTTGAGTTTTTGTGCTTTTCGCCGTAATTTAGAAATGGTTCTTCATATTCCACCGAGACGAGTAATCCATCTTGATGCACTTACAAAGCCCAAACAGCTCGAAAATCCAAGCAGCTTTATGTCAGATGCGTATGAACTGGCGATCGCTACGTATACGAAATATTGAATACTTTTATCACTATTTTGAGAATTACTCCCCTGATTATTTTACCTGGTTGTAGCACGTTGTTCAATGCGTGATCGTTGCAATCAAAACGATCGGCAACATATTACTGGTAACGTCTTTACTACAATTCATGTTTGCGGTCATGGGAGTGCAAATGTTCAAGGTAGGGGGCGTTAAAGAGTACGTTTCACCTCGTACATCTTTCACATGTGTGGTTCATTGATATTCCACTCTCTCCACTCTCACTTGTACAATCTCCTTACACCTTTGGGTACGCTATTCATTCATTTCTTATCTACAACTCTTCCTGTGTGGTTTTCTGCTAATGCTATTTTTGATCGAAACATTTCACTGATCTGCTTTTTTTTCCTTTGTCTTCTTTTCTTTTCCATTTAAAAACATAAGTGCTAGTAACATCCACCTGTCCAAGCCCAAAGGTGTAGAGTCAACTGAAGGAACAACTAACTTCCCTGGTGTCATAGAATAAAACCTTCCCCCTACCTTGGCGTTTCAGTAGAGCCAGTGTCTAACGTCGTTTCATACCAGTATGTAGAAATAACTAAAGGCCCTCCATAAAACCTTTGTGAATTAAAGTGTTGTTGCTTTTCCCCTATGTCCCGACGCTGCGTGCCGGATTGGACGTCCCTTGCCCCGGTAATGTATGCCCACGAATTAACTCGCACGCACCTTTAGTATGTCGTCAAATGTGTGATAGTAGCCATTAAGACTATAGGAAATATAATGTTAGTTACATATTTGTTGCAATTTATGTTTGCCGTGGTCGGTGTACAGTTGTTTAAGGTAAGTTAATTATAATGGACTGCAACACTGTAAGGCCAATTGAAGAGGCCACTAGGTCATCAAAATATGATAAAGTTACCTTCTAATAGAAAAATAAAATTTTTAAAATATTTTATTTACAGTTTAATTTATTTATACTTCACGATTTACTTTAATAATAATGATAATATAATTTAGTCACTTAACTGATTGAATTGAAAGATCAAACTAATCACGTATTGCTACTAGAAGGAAATTTTATTTAAAGTGAAATTAAGTGGCAACATATATATAAAGCTAAAATCAGATTTTATTTTATTGACCTTACATTAAGTGACATTAATTAGTTATTGCATGTCCTTATCTAATAACTTAACTACTAAAAATATGTAAAAAATTTAGCTTTTTAAAATTGATAATTTTTAATTATTACTAATTACCAAAGTTATGTAACAATAATGTTTAAATAAATAGCTTTCGCTGATCAGCATGGTGACTTAGTGTAATAGCATAACGAATAAATACAAAGCTTTGTTTCAGGGTAAATTTTTTATGTGTAATGACATTTCCAAAATGACAAAAGAGGAATGTCAGTAAGTATCTATTACTAGAGACATCTTTATCGTTATCGATTCGAACGACATCTGATGTTTTATCGTTTTTTCAGAGGGACGTATTTAGTGTTTGAAAATCGTAATTATGTTGTGAGAGATCGGGTGTGGCGGCGAAACGATTTCCACTTTGATAATGTAATGAAAGGAATGCTCACTCTCTTTACGGTTTCCACGTTTGAAGGATGGCCAGGGTTCGTTATTTATTTTTTCAATTCATACATTATTTAGAACATATTTAATTGTTTATACAACAACATTTAACCGTCCGTATAACATATCCAAAAAATAAGTTGGGTTTAAATTTTAAGTTTATATGAGAAACTTTTTAAGTATATACAGGTTTCTAGAAACATTTTTACCGACTTTGTCTATAAACGTCTTTTCAGTTTAAACTTAAAAACTAATTTATCGTCACTTTAATAGTATGCCACAAGGAAGATAGCGTTCTGAAAGGTCATTTATTTCAGAAATTAAAAAATAATAATAAATGCTTATTTTTATATACATTTTGAAAGATTAAAATTAAAGACTTAAAATTAACATTTACTATCGGTTCTCAAATTAAGGGCGTATAAACGAAGGTAGGTAGAACATACCAAGGTTTCAATTACCAAGTCCTCACTTACATAAAGTGGCATACGCAATAATACAGTTTGTGTGTTTGAACTTAAAATAAGACAAAGTGTTCATTTAGTGCGGACTTGCAAATTAATTTATTATTTTTAAATTTGCTTTCAGGTTACTGTACGTATCTATAGATTCGAATGCTGAAGACCGCGGTCCTATCACTAACTTCCGTCCAATTGTTGCTGCGTACTACATTATTTATATTATTATTATTGCCTTCTTTATGGTAAGCTGAAACATTAATTAAGCAGCTCAATTAAAAAACAATAAAAAACAAATAAAAAACAATTTCGATATGTGACAAAGGTCTGATCAACTACTCGACACATACATCTGACTTTGATTTTTTTTTATTGTTATATTCTTAGGTATACGATTACGAATAATTTTCACATGTTTTTTTTCTATCTTGAACAGTGTACGCTGTTTTTCGGTTCGAATCCCACCCCCCGGTATTATTTTGTATATAATTTTTTTAGGTTAACATATTCGTCGGTTTCGTCATAGTGACATTCCAAAATGAGGGTGAGCAAGAGTATAAGAACTGTGAATTAGATAAGAACCAAAGAAATTGTATCGAATTCGCTTTAAAGGCTAAACCAATTAGAAGGTGAGTTACCTAATTCTTGACAAATAAACAAACATATCTTAAATTTAAAATTACAGTATACAATAAAATTTAACTAGAGAATAATAAATAATTTTGAATATGCTTACGGTTAAATTTGATGTTGAGAATCGCAGCGGATACACGTTCTCCTCTTACTTGAAAAATTTGTATCCGCTGTGATTCCTAATCTACAAGAGAAGATGTCTAATACTACAAGATTTTAATAAAATAACACTTAAATACTGTCTATAGTTTACGCGAGTAGTACACATTTAAATAAAACACTTTAACGGCTTAAAACGCGATATATTAGTTAAATTTATTTGAAAATGATTTTTAACTTCGGCCCGACGTCTCTCCGTGACCACGGCTGCTGCAAAGCATCCGAAACGTCGGGCCGAAGTTAAAAATCATTTTCAAATAAGTTTAACTAATATATCGCGTTTTAAACCGTTAAAGTGTTTTATTTAAAAATAACACTTACCATATTTCTTGTGAGACTTCTAAGACATTCGTGTAGTGCTTTTGGAGTTTAGCATCTAAATACGCATAGAAAATTCTTTTTTTTTTCTGTGTGATGGGTTTTAACGTACAGATATACTCTTTCAATACTCTATAATTGAGAAATAGTAAGTAAACCTTTATCGAAAAATCCCATTTACTATTGAAACCTTTTTTAGGTATATACCGAAACACCGTATACAATACAAGGTATGGTGGTTCGTTACGTCACAGCCTTTTGAGTACGCCATCTTCGTTCTGATCATGATAAATACAATCACGTTAGCTATGAAGTATCACAACCAACCCGTGGAGTACAGTAAAGCTCTGGATCTGCTGAACATGATCTTCACTGCTGTTTTTGCTCTGGAGTTTATATTCAAACTTGCTGCTTTTAGATTTAAGGTAACTACTTTATTTGTGATTTTTACTAATTTGAATGTTTTTCCTATGAATATGTTGAATTAAAAAGTTTTAAAATTAGAAATGTTATTGTTAGAGCACAGGTTAAGACTTTATGATCCAATAGTAGCAACTTATGGCTAGTTCCTTAATTACCAAAGTCTGCATAGGTCGCGCAAAGGTATCTTAATAAAATTTTACATGGCTGAAGCAACCTTTTATCAAGTGACGTCAATAGTCAATTCTCCTATATCCTAAAATAAATTATTGTTAATACTATTTTTGGATTACAGAACTATTTCGGAGATGCGTGGAACACATTCGACTTCATCATTGTTCTAGGTAGCATAATAGACATCGTCGTATCGCAAGTAAACGAACTTAAAAATCAGGTAACAGCACAAAGCACTTTAGATGTCCACATAGGTAACGGTTTGACCCGATATTAATTGGTCCGAATAGAAATCAATAGAAAATCAATACGAAGCTTTGATTCTTTAAATACTTTTAACTTTACCTGGTTGTCTTAAGAAGCAACTAAAAGCGAATAATTGTTTTTCATTCAAAGGGTTTTTGAAGAAATATATTTTCATTATAAATGTACTATTATACATTTTCTGAAGTGTATGTGTAGTCCATCGGTGGCCTGCAATGGGCATTAAAACTATGCTTTTGTAAATTAGAACGTTATTTCGAGGCCAATTCATATTTGGACAAATAAAAGTTACTGTCCCGAGCATGGACGATATTGGTGTTGTAATAACAACAGCAAGTCGTCTTCTTGATGTCGTAGAACTTATTGAGCCCACCATGTTTCAGGGAAGTGGTCTGTCAAGAACGCATGTTGTTAAGGTGAGTGGGGTCTATGTTGAGACTTAATAAAAAAATACTTACTACTATTTAGTTTAGACACGTTTAAAGTATTAAGTATAATTGAAAGACAAGGCTTTTGAAACAAACGATTATTAAAGCAATGTTTTTATTAATTTGTCGTATCTAACAATTAAATGGAATTCTTATATTTCAATTATACTTATTAATGTTGTAATTAAAGATAACTTTGAAATAAATTTAATATTACTAATAGCGTAGCTTCTTGTAAATTTAAGAGCTTTTGATGTTATAAATGGGACAGTAACGAATTGCGATGGACACACGCACAATACAACATTTGATAGAGAATAAACAGATCAAAACTTGTAAAAACACAAACTCACGTTATTCAAAGTAGTACACTAAGCTTCAGCAGGGACACTATAAAGGCTTAAACACACAAACTAAGCGCCCATAATATAATATTGAGTAATACTGAGTTTTTTGGATACCAAAGGATTTATTAATTAAAATTTCAAGTTACAGGTTGACACTAATAACATGAAATATTTTGAACGGATTTTTTTTTCTGAACAGAACTGATCATTTAAGACGGTCTATTACTAAAACCTCCTGTTTGTTTGTCACTATTATCTTACGAAACAATAGGAGAGCTAGAGAATTATATTATATATGGACTATAAAAGCAAATAACTAAAGATAAACTAAATATGTCTATTTGGCTTTCACTCTACAAACGCGACTTGCATTTCTTGTTTGATATAAATAAATAGAAATTGTGTACTTATTATCTACCTGGTTATGGGCACGGAGCCTTATGTTCGCGAGCGTACTTGTTCGATTTTATATTACAACGCAACTCGATATTTTTTCCTATTGACAACTCTTACTAAATCATCTTTACTCTTACAGGAGAGTTCTATTCCGTCGATAAATTTCTTTCGTCTTTTTCGTGTCATGAGACTGGTGAAACTACTGTCAAGGGGGGAAGGTATCAGAACGTTGCTGTGGACTTTTATAAAGTCCTTTCAAGCACTGCCCTACGTAGCTCTACTTATTTTGATGTTGTTCTTCATATACGCAGTTGTTGGGATGCAGGTAATTATTGTATTTGTTGACGTATCATTGTATGCTTAATTACTAAGTAGTGTGTCGTGAATACTTGCTTTGCTGCACTAAAGTCTCGCAATCAGGAAATCCTGAAAATATATAGTTGATAGGAATATTAAGAGGTTCAGCCGATTCGCAAACCACTACAGATGAAATTACTGCAAAGTGTATAAGTGTTCCTGTTTTAGTCTGCGGATTGCAAAATGTCCAAAGCTGAAACAGGTAGACAGAGCATCTCAACTAAGATAAATTTGGGCATGTCACCTTCGAAAAAGTGAAAAAACTTGTCTGTCCTTCTTTCCTTCGTTTTGTATCTTTTTTAATCCTTTCAGGTGTTTGGTAAAATAGCAATCGACGATGATACTCCGATAACACGAAACAATCATTTTCAAACGTTTCCCCAAGCTATATTGGTGTTATTTCGTTCAGCAACAGGTCAGTTGGCTGTTAATATGTTAATATAGTTTGAAACAAAACTTTTCAATCGCTTGCTACTTACTTTTCTAGGTGAAGCGTGGCAGGACATAATGATGGGTGTATCACCAAGCACAAAAGTTAAATGTGATGAAGATTATACGGACGAAGGTGAAGAAGGCGCGAATAATGAATCGTGTGGCAGTGTTCTCGCTTTTCCTTACTTTATTTCCTTTTATGTTCTATGTTCTTTTTTGGTAAGTACCTGCATTTATCACATACAAGTCAAAGTAACGTTGTTAAAAAGCATTCACTTTAATCTCTTATTGGCCTTCCGCTGTGGGTCTTCTTTATCATAACAGGGAGGCTTTAAGAGACTCGTAAGATGCTCTAGTGCGATGAAATAAAAGGCTACTGCCCTTAAATAACGATACCAAATAGATACACAACTTCGAGACTTGAAGCTGAAGACGACTCCTAGATACAAACTTTGATATCTCATGTTACAGATGCGTAGTTAAGCTAGAAGCTACTTATCACAAATTAATGATCAAAAAGTACATGGCATTGAAGCGTTAATAATTGTGTTTATTTCTAGATTATTAATTTATTTGTTGCTGTCATTATGGATAACTTCGATTATTTGACCAGAGACTGGTCAATATTGGGACCACACCACTTAGATGAATTTATAAGGTATGTATACGAACGAAAATATATATCACGTTTTCGTTATTGTATAACGATTTCCCAGTCATTTTTAAAGCTACTGAAGTTTTTGAGCTGTTCGATCATTGGAATTGAGGAATGTTTAACGCTACCGTATTATCAAAAGAAGATGAGCCTCCCTCGAATAGGCGGAGACATCGAAAATCCAAGTAGCATTATTATAATAAACTACAATTACAACAATAATGATGTTACATATTAATATACCTACATTGAATAATTACAGATTATGGAGTGAATATGACCCTGACGCAAAAGGTCGAATAAAACATTTAGATGTAGTAACGTTGTTGAGAAAAATCAGCCCACCATTAGGTAAGACTTAAAACTTAAATTAGTACACATGTATTGTGTTTACGCGAGTAGTACACTGTTAAATAAAACACTTTAACGGTTTAAAACGCGATATATTAGTTAAACTTATTTGGAAATGATTTTTAACTTTCGCCCGACGTTTCGGATGCTTTGCAGCAGCCGTGGTCACGGGGAGATTGCTGATGGCGCAAACGTAGCAATTTTTTACTTCAAAGTTTTATTTAAATTAGTACACACGTGTTAATGCAAATAATGATGATTATGTTAAAATGTTTGAAGAATATATTTAACCTTAATGCGTTACTGTTGAAGTCGGAATTACACTACACGAGGGATGTAAATTTAAGATAAGAAATTCGATAATCACGAACCCGCTATTGCTAAGGATCTTCAGCTTAAAATATTGTTTAAATTCACTTCTAAATATCCTTTTGATATAAGTTTGAGATAACATTTTTTACTGTTAAAAATCAATTTTCTATTATATTTTCAGGTTTCGGAAAGCTTTGTCCCCACAGAGTGGCATGCAAACGTCTTGTATCCATGAACATGCCCCTTAACTCTGATGGCACAGTCTTATTCAATGCAACTCTTTTTGCGGTTGTGAGAACGTCACTAAAAATCAAAACTGATGGTATATATCTAAAACATCATTACTGTTTGGAAAAAAGCTTTGTTTTGATAAAATAATTTAGAAAGACAATATCCAACTTGTCACTCAGACAATTTTTAAAGAAAGGAGTTATGAATGATCGTGAATAAACTATAATATTTATAAACAGGAAACATAGACGACTGTAATACCGAACTTCGAGCGGTTATCAAAAAGATTTGGAAACGGACCTCGCCTAAACTCCTCGACCAAGTTGTTCCACCACCCGGAGATCCAAATGAAATAACAGTTGGAAAATTCTATGCCACCTTCCTAATACAAGACTACTTCAGAAGGTAATATAAGTGATACATTAAAAATTCTTACTATAGTACCTATTACAAAAAAAACAGCGATTAACTTTTTTAATTTTTTACATTATATAACAAGTGGTTAATTTAAATTAAGTTCTAATTCTTTATTGATGTTGAGTTCAGTTTGACACTGACCTTATATTTTTGTTTCATAGGAATCACGCGTAAGTAACACAAAGGAAACGTATGTCGTTAGGAAAACAGAATGTACCCTCTTAGTTGTAAAAATAGTAACTTCGCTAGAATACAAAACGAAATTATTGAAAGAATAGAGTGTATAGATGTTTTCGATTGTACCCTGCATGGTCCTTGAAGGTTTATGCAATTAATATGGTACCATTAAACGTGTTGCCTCTGGCGGTTCCCACACACAGCTAACTCCCAAACCGTGGGCATGCTTCTTGGATTACGCTCGGAAAAATCGATGTCCTTGTTTTTCATTTGTTTTTTTTTTATCTTTACATTTGTCAACTGTTGTGTTTTTGTGGAATTTTGTCGTTTATGTGCTAGATAAAGGGAGTTCTCATCAAGTTTTAACTGTATCCACGCGTCATAGCAATTAAAAATAGATTTTCGCAAATAAATCAGTAGAAATACTGCTTATGATTACACCGAGTTTTAGACTTACATAACACGTTTGATAGCATAATTTAGATAAGATATAGATGAGCAAATTCTAGCATTACTCTGGTTTTGCATACAGATAAAACGTTACACTAGAAGATACGGGGAAGTAAGTGGTCGAATAAGCTTTTTTATTTCCTGGACTGTTTTTAAAACAACTTTCATGAAACCAAGGTTCAAAAAGAGAAAAGAGCAGGAGACGCGAGCAAGTGCTGGCGGCGAAGCAGTGCAGCAGATGACGCTACAAGCTGGCTTACGGACTCTACACGAAGCTGGACCGGAATTGAAACGAGCCATATCGGGTTGTTTGGATGACGTTGATGCCAATCTTGACTTGCCTATGCATAGGGTTAGTTATTACTTTATACTTGAAGTTGTTGAGTCCAGAAAAGGGTTTTTAAATTCTCACTTTCTTTTCCAGAGAAATCACTCGTTATTTGGAGGAGTTTGGTCGAGTATAAGAAGACATGGGCCTAATAGGAATTTGAATAGACAAAGGAAGTCTGGTGATCCACCTTCAGGTGTCTATACATAATTCTAAAATTATCATTGAATTTCCTTTCTTCTACTAATTTTATTTCCTTTCTTTAGAAGCCGTTGGCAATCATCTAAGTTCTATGATGCAAAAAGAATATGGAGTTGGACCGTTGCCATTGGCACCTAATTTGTAAGTACTATCTAATTTCCTTTAGGTTATATAAATAGAGAAATAATAATATATTACGCAAGATGTGCATCTACGAATGGATTTCACTTATTCTATAAGGGCAAGCGGGACGTAATAGCCCAATAATTAATTGTAGAGAATGCTAAGGAAATCCACCGATGTCGTTCCGTCAGTGTCCTGTAGGTACCTACAATGTAAACAACCTTTTAAATTATTAATAATATCAATATAGGGCTAATGGACAACCAAAGGAGCAAATCCCGATGCGGCCGCTAATACTCAACGGGGAATCAGAAAAAATATACCAGGTGCTTGAGTAAGTAACGTCAATTTAATTTCGAGTTAGCAATATAACCGTCTAATCGTTTTAATAGAAGTTATTGATGGTACATCGCTTATTATTGCAGAAGAACAACAAACAATCTTAAGAACGCTATTTATCAAGGTAGCTAAAACAGAGTGATATTTTTGCGAGTGAATTCATTTATAGTAGTTCGTAATATAGCACTAACTTGCATCGTTTGCGTGAATAACACTTAACACTTTCTTACACACGCTTACCTTTGGACGGACAGCAACCAACGTTCGAACTATCCAGAAATGCTGGGACAAATCGGTCTGGCCTTTGGCTGCGTGAATTACTTATCCACTCCTGATACAACTAACAAAACGCCGAGCGTCAGACAAAAGATACACCCAGAAGAGAATGCGTCTATAGAAAAACTGACGTTACCACGAAAGGCGTCACCGGAAGACAAAACACCATCGCCGATTGAAACAATACAACCGAAGATATCTCCTTTGCTAGCTGGAGAGATCACACCAGCGATAGAATCGAGAACGATGACGTTATACGGATATAATGCTGCCGCTAAGCTGCCCTTCGCGTTTTCTCACGCGCGCGAGCAACGGACTTGTCGAGGGGGGGAGAGGAGGAGCCTCCGCACGATTCGGCCGATGCCGGCAGGTCGGATGGTGCGCAGCGCGTCTTCGGGCGCAGCTTCGCATGCACCGCCCATGCGCCTTGTAGATCGCCAGCATTCGCCAGGTCCGCACCTACTAGGAAGTTTCCTTTTCCAATTCGAAAGGATGTGAATCATTCGTTATTCTTTTCAAACTTACTTAGACTTTAAGTAGACCATCATTAGTCTGCAATCAAGATTAGCTTCGTCTATAATTACTGTTTGATTCGCAACCTTAATAGGTTCTGGTCTATCTCTTTCTTCTAGAATAACATCGTGTGTCTAAAAGTATATTTAGGCTATGTTACAGTATAATTAAAGGAAACTTTCTACGCGATTCATCAATAGGTACGCACTTAACATGCGAGCTGTACAGGTATTAAGGTTGAAACGGTATAAAAGCAACGATCAAAGAACACTAACACTTAGCTTGTGCTGTAACCATTTTTTCACGTTTATAACATTTTTTAGTACTGTTACACCCAATCACTGATGCACATAATGGAAGTAAAACCATTTTATTAAATTTCACAAAACGACTACATCAAATATAAATTGACATAATAAAACAAAATAATCTAAATCGTTACAGCTATATAGTAAAGTAGAAATCAGTTTCTAGAACTAACATGCTTGATGCACGGAACTTTACTAAAAATCTCACGAGGACAGTAAAATTAGAGAATTTCACTGCTTCACATTATTAGCTAACATCTAGGGCTAGCTTACATGCTTAAAAACCTAGTGAAATGTAGAAAATAGATGGAAATAAATTTTAGATAGAAATAAATGATACAAAGGTAGTACCAGTATAAAGATGTTCACTCAAACTCTATAGAACTCATGTAGACGCATTACGATCAGAAATTACCCCCACAAGATTATGCTTGAAAAGGAATTAAAACAATTTGTACATAATAGGAGGAGATAGCACTGGTCGTGGTGTAATGTCATTACCGGGAAGCCCCAGGAACAGCTCTTCAGTACCCGTCGTCGGATCAGCAGAGAGCCTAGTGACTAGGGTAAGAGGCAGCTTAGAAGTTTTGTATACTAGTCTAGTACTACTAGTAATAACTTTTTCTGACACCTATGTTTACACGTTTCAGGTTCTAACTGAGCAAGGTTTAGGAGAGTACTGTGATCCAGAGTTCGTGAGAAATACATCAAGAGAAATGCAAGAAGCATTGGACATGACACAAGAACAAATGGATAGGTATGGATAGCCAGTATTAGATTTCCTAGATATAAATAATAAGCAGGCTTTTAATATGTAAAGATAAATTATTTATAAAATTCAACAGGGCGGCTCATCAACTCATGGTCCAAGAGAGAAACATAAAACATGCACAAAATCAACCGACGCAAGTTGTAAGTGTTTCTTAAATTTTTGTTGCTCAAATCTCAATACAGGAATTTTTGCGGGTAGTTTACAAATTTATTATATATAAACCTCATTTGAAACTTTTCTTATACAGTAGTGAAGGACTTGAAGTTTTTATGTGTACGACATAATGAATGTATAGGGGGACGTTTGGACTGTTATAGGGCGATATCCTAGCTCGCCAGCACCACCCTTTCCACCAGCCAGCGGCCCCACAGCCCCTCAAGCGGTTATAGCACCCAGCACTGCTGCGCCTAGCGCTAAATCCCACCACAGGACCAAACGGAAACGGAAACCTGTGCTCGTCTAAATTAGATCTTGTAAATGTTTTACATACCCTATACCTTAGGTGGTCATGCTCAAATTTTCGTTGATATTTTACTCTAGCTCTTTAAAACTTTTCGATGAATTTGTTTGACTCGACCAGGCGGAACAAATTAGGTACTATTTAGTGTCACTGTGTTAACAGTATAAAGTGAGATTCGTAGAGTAGAAATTATATTCTAAGTACCTCGAATTGGCTCTCTGGCAACGTTGTATTAAAGGAGAGAGGTGTTTATAGGAATTGTAATTGTAAAGAAATTCATGTGCAAATAGTTATTTTATTTCTATTAGTCCGACAAGTTAAATATCATTTTTGACGCCATTTTGTTCATGAAGTAGGTCTTAGGTAGTCTTCTTTGGTAATTTAATTTGAATTCTAAACGTCAAATTTAATTATTAACTAAATACCTTACATATTAAACAGTATTAAAATTAGCTAGATAAAAAATTTGGCCTGACGAATAAACTTATATTTCCCTGGTGAATGTCAGACTGAAATTAGTGTTGCTAGACGTTATAATTTGAATTTACACCTTCTCCAAAACAATATTCTAATTAAAAAGTCAGATGACAATACAAAACTCCAAGACTTGAATGTTTGAATATAATATTTAAAAGTTTTTATAGTTCTTTTAAGATGAATGATAATCATGACGACTCTTCCATTCAAACATTTTGACAAAACTGCTTATTATTACCTATTTTATTCTACCTAAATACCACGTAGTACTGCCAGTGTTATATTTGTCCCATTATCTTGGTACAATATTGATCTTATTTTGAAATCTAAAAGACAAATAGGAGATATTATAATTAGTATAAGTGACAATTTTAAAAATATCCATTGCGAAACAAAGTTTAAATATAATATGATTCATTTTTTCATTCATAGAAACATAGATAGAATTTAAATTTGTAAAACTCGCAACACTGAATATTATTTTTTGCAAACGCAATGTACCAGTAACTCGGTGTTGCTAGTTAATACGTCATAGTCATAGGGATGATCCTTGTAAGTGTCCTTTTTAAATCGATATAAATTAATATTGGAATTTGTTTTAATCTTGTCCGATTTACCATAAATTCACATTCCTATAGATTTAAGAATTGTCCTAATCTTTTTAAAAACAATAAATAATCTAGAAAAATAATCAATTACAATATTAATAATTGGTATTATCTTAAATCTTCTTCGTCACACTCTCATTTGTAATATTTTTAAAATGACATATAAAATATGTATGTCTTCTTTTGGGAAAGTCTTTGCGGGTGGAATGGCAGAAAACGCTACCATTAGCTCAGACTAGGCCTGCTTAATTCTGACCAATTTCAAAGTTAGTGTTTGTATTCCTTTCTTCCAATCTTTATCATAGGTGCCAAGTTTCATATTTTTGTATATTTCCTAATTAAACAACTGACTTTGTTACTGTTAATTATCAATGAATAGGAATTGACAAACGTTTATATGAAAATTTTGTCCTTAATTCTTGTACTGACATTAAACTGTACACCTATTGTTTATGGTGTGTCTATAAAAGAAAAAATAATTATGTTTATAAAAGTTTAAATATTTAATTTACACTATGAGTGGCATATAGAAAAATCTAATCTAGCCCACAGTCCTTATATAATGAATGGATATATAAACTTTTACTTTTAAATGATTCACCAAGTTGAAAATACCTAGGAGACAGAGGCTTTAAAACGCAAACAAATTCAAGAAGTGTAAATAATGTATCATAAATTGTTAAATTAAGAATATATGTAAAAATTCAATTCTTGCATGATTTAATTCATAAGAATGAAAGATTATTTGGTGTGTTTGTTAAATGTTACAGATGTATCATTAAAGTATGCCTTCCTTCCTCATATGCCTATAGTTCTGTTTAAATTTCATGAAATAAGTAACATATATTTTGTATGTAAATAAAAATCATATTTATAGTATTAGTCATATTTGAATTTTTTTAATTTATTGTTCAAAAATAATGTAAAATTGTTTTTCTTATGATAAAAAAATTGAGAAATCCACTTCTTTCTTTTATTTGAGACCTACCTTACAATAACATTATCATGTTGTCATATTTTATTACACTATATAAATAAAAAAAAACAAATGTTTTCCAATACTTTTTTCGTGCAAGAATTTCTGTTATTGTCCTAGTTATTTCCATGTTCAAACTTTATTTCATAGAATAATTTGTACTTAACTTTAAAACATATAATTTTTACTTATCAATCAAAGTCCCTTTAACTCTTTTTTCACCAGAACCCTGTGAAGGCATCTCTGCTTGCCTTTTATTCATGCCTTTTCTCTCCAATTGCTTCTCGATAATTCTGGCATTATTGGCATAACTGTCAGCTACTTCTCTTGCTTCAATCTCGTCTTCCTCTTCATCTATAGTGGAAACTGTTACTGAACTAAATTTGCCCATATTCTTAGTATGTTTTGTGACCATGATTTTCTTAGGTTGAACCAGCGCTACTTGCTTATAAATGTCAGTTACTTCACCAACAGTTTGTACCAGCGCACCATCTAATATAAACACTACATTGCTGTCTTGATCATGTTTATAGTATATAGGAATAGCACACTTTTTACATTTTAACCTGTATTGCCTTTCAATACCTTTTTCTCTTTTTAAGTACACAGTTTCATCTGGATCAGAAGTTATTTTGTGAGCGTGTTTTGAGCCATCGATAACTCTCGCTCCATCAGTCGGCCTAAGTGGTAGTCTATCTAAGGTACAATCCAAGATCAGCGACATTTGTCCACATAAACAATAATAAATATGCAAAGGTTTCGTCTCATTGTATTCCTCTTGATCTTTTGTATCTGAACAAACGATACTCCTTGAAACTACTTTCGGCATTTTGTTTTTTTATTATTAGTATATTATATTATATAGTTTTATATACGAGAAATCTTTAATAAGTCTCTTTTAAAAGCTGTTTTTTTAATTATGTTTTTCTAACAAATTAAAATTGTAGAAAACTGACAGTTAACATCACGTCGAATAATGTAGTTGACATTTATAGATTAATACATAGAAAATATATGATTCAATCTTGACCATAGATGATATATTAATAAGATTTTTATTTTGAATTAATTTCTCTAAGTTGGTAAGCATGTGTATTGATTTCAATACTCTATGGTTACTGTCTATGAAATGTCATCTTTAAAACGATTGTCATTTGTCTTTTATTCACCCGAATCGTGTTTCATTGCACATGTTCATCGATTTTTGTGGAATTTAGGGAAAGTAAACAGAGTTTTCCTAATAAAATGGGTGCCATAGCAAGCAGATATCGTGTTTCCAACTCAGGATTGACCAGCACGGACATAAAAAATATAGAGGACGCGAACAAACGTGAAAACCCTGGGACTTTAGATGAATTGCACAAAAAGACTAAAGGTAACATTTTTTGGCACGTTAGACCTTAATTCAACTATCTACGATAAATAATAAGCTGTCATAAGTCTCCTGAATTTAGTTTGATGATAATTTCAGTCAGAAATGTAGATATATTTCTAACAAGGTTGCGATCTAAAACTTTGGTTACTTATGATGTAATATTATCTTATCCGACATATACTTCACGGAGTTGTTAGCATCACGCTATTCTATACTTCGCGGTTTTATTACATATTCTAACTTTTTTGATAACTTGTTTGTTCTTAAGATGAAAGTTAACCTTCATTTAAAATCTCTGAAAAGTTGCCTAAAACAATACTAATAACTATCTTTATATATTTTTGTTTTGAAAAGTTTATTCTGATTTGTAATTGAATACAACATAACTAGCAAGTTAATGAGAGTTATACTTCTATTCATGCAGATAACATCTTCTGTGAAAATGTATCTTTAAAATATATTTTTAGATGTTATGCCAGTAAACTTTGAAGGTGGTAAACTGATGGTAAACAGGGGAATCTCCAATCACTTCCAGGTAATGTGGTTCAGATGGTGCTTATAAAAAAGTTATTATCAAAATTAATACAACAAGATATTATTTAATTAATTAGTGTGTAGTATATAGTTCTGTTTTAAATGTTGTTTTTCTGTTCTATTTTATACAAGAAACAATGGGCAAGCAGTCGAAATGATTCTGCCCTCTCTGACAAATTGTTTATATCAAGCTAAAGACAAATGGAAATTTTACATTAATTAGTGTCTCATGTCAGTGTTTATAATGTTGAATTCAGTTCATGTGAATTATAAATGTAATACATGTTTGAGACACATCCTCTAAGCATTAGAAATTCTACTTACTATATTAATGGCATAGACAATGTTGTCAGAATATTTATTTAACATATTATTACCTACTATGATCAGCTTTAATTTAATGCAGATACTATAATTTCTTCACAGATGTCCCATACTTTAACAATGAGCTCAGCTCAAAATGGATACAAACTAGGTGCAACATACATTGGCACCAAGCAAATATCACCAACTGAAGCATTCCCAGTAGTGCTTGGTGATGTGGACCCGGCTGGGAATGTTAACTTCAATTTTATCCACCAGTTAACACCAGATGTCAGGGTTAAAGCTGCTGCACAGGTAAAACTACATTAAATTAACTTGGTTGGTGGGAAGCTCGCAATGTTTATATGTATTTTGAAATTGGTCAGCAGTTAAGGCTAAACTGTCTTTTAGAGATCCATAAGCCAACATATTTTAATTATAAAACACTAACACACCTTAAATACTGTCTGCAATTTACATGAGTAGTACACATTTCAATAAAAAACTTTAACGGTTTAAAACGCGATATATATAAGTTAAAATTATTTAAAAACCTCCCCGTGACCACGGTTGCTGCAAAGCATCCAAAATGTCGGGCCCTAGTTAAAAATATTGAAAATGACATTTGAAATACAAATAACTTTATGGTAAATTTTTTAAGCATTTAAAATGTCTTTCAGATACAAGAATGCAAAATTACAGCCACTCAAGGTACTGTAGAGTATAAAGGCTCTGATTACACTCTAGCGATGGCAATTGGCAAGCCTGACTTTAGTGAGAAATCTGCAGTCTTTGTTGGACATTATTTACAGGTTGGTCTAACGGAAGAATAACTTACAAATGATTTAAAGTGAAAATGTAAGATGCACTGTTAAAAGACCGTGTATGTAGTTAGTTTATATTTTGTTCTTTTAAGAAATTTGTTAACCAAGATGTTGGGTCACCGGTCTGTATATTTGCAATAATTTTAAATATGACATATTAGCTGTGTCATCACTTCGTCTGCATAGAATAGTTATTTTACCTACTAACCTCCTCCTTATCTTTATAAATTTAAGCTATTCCTCAATCCTGTCGTTCTTGCAAGTTAATCTTCTATATCTAAAAGATAGACGTATAGTGTCGAGGACATTTTTTGGATTCTTTAAAGAGGAATAATTCTTTCATTAATACTTTTTGAGTATCTTGAACCGTTTTCACAGCATACAGATTGGAAACCCTCTAAGATGAATAGTTTTGCCCATTTCCTGCTGTTTCGTCGCTCGTATTAGTCGCATGTGTTATAGCCTTCCTTTATGAATGGTCTAACACAAAAATAATTTTTCAATTCAAACTAGCAGTTCCTGTCGCATTCAAACATACAAACAAACAAATTCTTTAGCTTTATATATCAGTATAGTTACTAGGGCACTAACAATCGTACATGAATTTGAATAAATTTGAAAATGTCTCCTTTATATTTACAGTCAGTAACAAAACGACTGGCACTGGGTGCTGAATTAGTTTATCAGTCGAGTGCTCGTGTGATGGGTGGTGAAATTGCAATTGCTTCTGCAGCAGCTAGATATACTATGGACGGTATAGATTTTTTTTTATATCATGATCATACACTGAGTAGAATGTATGTAGAAAGACATGGATATTATTTTAAATAAATCTTTTAATCTGTATGTACACATACATACAGGTTTTCTGAAAATCCTGTATAGATTATTAAGCTATTATTTACCAAGAGATTAGATTGAACCAAGCTATATCTTTGTGCCACTAAAAACTGACTAATGTTTATGGTAAGCAGTAGCTGAAAAATATAAACCGCGTTACTTTTTTATAAAGACAGATTTGTGACTGATATGTACTTTTTTATTTGAAAGGAGAAATAAGTCCAAGATGTTTTAAAAACAGTATCACTTAATTGAGCGGGGCTCGAAGCCCGGACCGGTTAGTTACTGGTCATACATCAATACTATTAGACCAACGAGGCTGTGTTTATTGATCCTATCTACACAATGATTAGTTATATCAAGGTCATTATGGAAATGAACCATTGACTTATACACCAGGAAAAACATTGTGCTATTCTTTTATAAAAACCTAGATTACAAGACATTCTTGCACCACATCTCGTAATAATTTTTACTTAACGTACTAAAAATTACTTTCAGATTCGGAAGTGTCTGCCACATTAGGACCGGCTAGTTTTCACGTCTGCTACTTCAAACAAGCTAGTGAACAATTACAGGTATGCACAAATCCAGTGGGATTAGAAATTCTACTAGAATGGGCAATCTAATATATAAAATTTACAGGTGTAGTGTGTAATAGTGTTTGTATGCAAACTCCTCCTAAATGGCTGAACCAAATTTAATGAAATTGTGTATATACATTTATTAGGTCTGAAAATAGGTTTTCACTCATAGATAACATCCCCATATACCTTTCTACCAAAATATTCTCTAGAAATAATTAATACAGCAAAAAATGTTGACTGGATCAGCTAGGTTTTTTTTAAATTTGTAATGTTTGAAAGATCATACATTAATTATTATTTAATATTCACATAAAACATTCTTCTACTTGTATATTCTCTAGTCAAGTAATTTTGTATAATAAATTTTGCAGGTGGTAGCAGAAATGGACACATCGTTCAGAGGAATGGAATCGGTCGGTACCATTGGCTACCAAGTTACCATACCCAAAGCAGAACTTGTCTTTAGAGGTTTGTTTATATGTATTGACAAATTTTTTATTGTAAAAACCACTTTGTACAGAAATTAGATACTGATAAAATACTGATCAGACATTTTTTGGGCTTGTTGGTTTAGTGGTAGCAATGTGTAGCTAATATACACCGGGTTCTAATTTCAACCTTGTCCTACATATTTCTAATAAAATTATAATTTTGGACTCTCTGTAAAATAATAAAGGCGTGATAGAAATATCGACATTACAAGTCATGAACCACTGTCCACATATGAAAAAGTCGTGGAGTTCAACTGCATACCGTTTTTAATCTTTGAATATTCAAAAGCAAAATAGTTCCTTGTTTACATGTTATGTGCTAGATGCTAGTATTCCACGTCAGTCCTCTTGTGTTTAAATAAAACACTTTAACAGTTTAAAACGAAATATATTAGTTAAACTTATTTGAAAATGATTTTTAACTACGGCCCGACGTTGCGGATGCCTTGTAGCAGCCGTGGTCATGGGGAGACTGCGTTTTATTTAAATGTGTATTACTCGCTTAAACTATAGTCAAGTATTCCTCTTGTGTTATTTAGAAAATCACGCACATTCCTAAAATTTTTATTATTTCAGGTATGGTAGATTCAAACTGGAACATCGGAGCTGTACTAGAGAAGAAGTTACAACCACTGCCATTCACATTTGCCCTGTCCGGCATGGCCAACCAGGCTAAGCAACAGTTTAAGTTCGGCTGCGGCTTGATTATTGGCTAGTGTTTAGTGTTAACCAAGTGATAGTGTTTGTGCGATTGATAGAGTGAAGTGTGGTATGTTCTGCTTTTATTATATACAGTGCTTCAACCAAAAATTATCATAGACCATGACTATAAGCAAGTAAATTCTGGTAGGTTTTGATGCCAAAATTTTCAGCTTCAGATGGCTTTATGTTGGTTACTTCAGGTGGTCATGAGCCAATAACTGAGTCTGTTAGGACAGATTACTTACTGAATTAAGTATATTGATGACCTGTAGCTATCACCATTCCATTTCCCAATAAATAACACATTTTGGTGTTGGATATGTTGTGTCTACAGTAATGTAAAGAGGGACTATAAAATATGCTAAACACAGAGTATTATATTCCTCCCTATAGAACAAATATACAAATTTGTTTTAGCATAATCCACACTTTTCTGGCTTTAAATAGATTCAGTGGACTTGATTTTTTATATGAAATAGTATGAACATTTAATTATCTTGAAATTAATTACAACAGACTGTTGAAGTAATTATGATATATGGTTTGTATAAACTTATTCTGTCAATTTTTTGACCTAAGCAAATCATGTATCAATTAATTGAATGTTTAACAACTGCGAAGACTAAAATCTGGAATTGTGTGAATGTTATGACAAATCTACACTGAATATACACCAGCTTGACATGATGATTCAAATTAGGGAAAGTTCGTTGTCATGTACTTAAATCATTTCATTAATTTAATTCTAAAATAATGTGTCGGTATTGCACAAAGTAAAGTTGTCGTGGGCTGGGATCAATTATCACAACTTATGCTTGACTAAATCCTGAATCCAGATACAACTAGACGACTTCTAAACCTTCAAACTATTATTATATATTGGTTGTACGTAATTTGTGGGTATATTATAATTCTTGTTTCAAATATTTGCTTTCCACCAGAACAGCATTTAGACAAACGGTCACTCAACAATACAGTTACAAGCATACTAATTCAGTATTTAAAAATAACATGTTAGCACAAGCAAATAAAATCACATCTCAGTTTAAAAAGGACAAGACTGCTTTAGTTTTAGGAGTGACCTATGTCGAGACACCTTCCTTTGTACAATGTATGAATGTAGATAGATATGGCATATTGTAAATAGAGCCTCTTGTTAAACTGTTTATTTTTAATAGAGTTATGTTAATTCTATTATGTTTTATTCATTTCAATACCTGGACCTATCTTTATCTAATGTGTGTTATTGCCTTCCTAGACTTGAACATTTTAAACATTTAGACAAGACTGAAGTACTATTAATCCATTAAAAAGGATTTAAAATATAGTGAAACTTGATTCTTATCTTATCTTCATAAAAGTTGTCACTTGATATGAGCACTGTGTCGTTAAAAAGATTTAGTTATGAACAAGATAGTAGTAATTAAAACAACTTGTTTGTTTAAAAATAATGTCAGTTTATTACATGTAATGAAATAAAAATATAATATAAACTTTTATTTTGTTACATGTTAAACCGCAGACAAACAATAATTTGGTACATTAATTCCAATTCGATTATCACAACACATACAGCTGAAAAAAATTGAAATGTGATGTCCAAGTTAAAAGGGCCTAAGAAACCATAAGACATGGTTACGGTTTAAAGGCCTTATGTATACTTAATTTTTAAAATAACCAAGCTGTGTGGTATTCCAACCAACGAAAAAATCAAACTCATTATCAACCCAACTATAACTAAAAAAATTTTAATTTTCTCCTATACCAAAATATATTATTATGGCTGAGTGTTTATATTTTTAGAAGATACATAATTACATCTCTATATTATTTATATATTTTTTCACGTTTATAACTATTTTAAATCTAGACTTAACATTAAGACGTTTGCATCACTTTTAGGATTGCAACATGTCATTTGTAGAGATCTTTGATTTTTGTAATGTTCTTTTACTTTTTTTTGTAAAACTCCAAGTGTTGCGCTTATGATATTATGTTACAAATCAACTTATAATTTCCCGAAGATATGTAAAGTTATGCCACGAAAGATATGAACTAAAACGCTGTTAAAAAAGAACATTACAAAATAAGCCAAAACTGGCAAGACCAGTTATTTATTTTGACAGACACAAGTTTTAAGCAGATGCTTGGGTATCGAAATTAAATCATCATTATTGTCATCAGTATTTAAAATTCCTCATGATAATATAAATAAATCCATAATGGTGTCGATAAGTAACAACTTAAAAGGGAAGACTGCATCATGAACTTAGTAAATTGTGCTAAAATAAAACATCTATAAGCAAAAGAGCAATTACACTAAGTACAGATATAACATCAATTTTTCTCAACCTCTATAGACGATTTTAATTTTTTCTTTATAATATAGAAATCAATCACAGTTCAATATAACAGTTCTTACATTAGTCGAGTAGAAAAGGGCAAAATAAGTGTGCCACACACTTGGCTAAACACTAAATCAGCTTCTCAAAAAATTTACTTTAAACTATATTCATTTGTTTTGGCATCTACTAAGGTGATGTGACGATAGTGAATAAAAAAGGACCAATTGGATTCCATAAAAGATAATATCAAGAATAAGTTGCCGCTTGAGAGGGAGACAAAGACAAAAAACATGACACATTCAAAATTAACACTAATAAAAAAATTAAATACCTATGAGATAGTGATGACTGCAGTCCGCTGTTACGGGCCATTGATATATTTTTATATTTATGCTATGGGGACAGATTAAAAAGATATTTACAAAATGCTAACTCGCTCGCTATTCACCGATGTGTTGTCAATACTTAAAATTACACGAAGATTAAAATATGTTAGTTAAAAATTCATATTACGATACTACAATTTAATTCGAAAATTCGCCCTTCTCAAATACATAGAGAAGGCAATGTTAACCACGTTGTCAGCTAATATTAAAAATTGTTCATAAGAACATATACTACGAATTTACCATAGACAATCCGAGTCCCTTCTACGATCCCAAAAACTTGAACACTTCTTAAGGTATCTATCTTAAGCGTATAACGTAGGCTCAACGCGCATTTTGCTGTTTACACATTCGGTACGGAACTGTGACGCAAATGTACTCATAACATTAGTAAGAATTACTTACGCGCTGAGCTCTAAACGACCAAAGCCATGCACATCTAGAACATTCCAACAACACTCATTTAATATTTTTAATTTTAAAGCATAAGACGCCGTGTTCATCTTCTGTCTGAGCAGTATTTAAAACTAGAATTGGCATTAGTGGTCCATAAAATATATAATCTGTATCTACGACGATGAACACGGCACAGATTATACAAAAAATTATCGATTTTAAGTTGGCGTGATTCGATTCGCATTGTAATGTGGCTGATTTATTCAAATACCGATAATCCAAAGAAGTTTTGCTTGAAATTTAAGTGCATAGCCGCGGAAGTGGTTACCATTATTGAAATAAAAACTAAGCGCGATAATAATATTTCACAAATAGATTACTATACCATACGTTTGTCCTTGTAAAGGCATGGCAAGTTTTATCTAGAGAGAAATAAATTAAATATAAGTAACTAGCACATGCTATCTCATCTGTGTTCTGTTACCAATAAATTTTGAAATTTGATATAATCTGTGAATTGTTAAAACTGTCAGATTCGAATCAACCAATTACAACGCAGTGTTCACAGGACAACCGTAACGGCAGTGAGCGAGCGACTTGTTAGAACGAGACAACGTTATAACTCCATATCGTGCGCCTCGTCGTCACTAAACTCTGACATTGAGCTCTCCGTGTCGCTCGCGGCGCCATTGGACGGCTTCGTGCCGGAGGAGGCGGACGTGGCTCCCATTCCCGTTATTGCGTCCTTTTCGAGTAACGCCTCCTCTGTCGCGAATCTTCGCACATAATCTGTAAATTTTACATAATAATAAATCAATATTTATTTCACAATCATTAAATACATAATATATAAAAAAATTGTTTATAAATTAGTCAAAGTTAGATGGTTAGAGTATTTCACTTGCCATCAAGTGAACTTCCATGCATGTCTGTTGTCTACTAACATAAAAAAAAGTCTTACCAAGGAAAAAAATAGAGTAGCAGACTCAACATATGCACTGCTTTATTTGTTAGTTTAAACGCGCTAATCTCAGGAACAACATGTTCGAATTGTATTTTTTTGTGTTGGGTAGAGAATTTATCGAGGAAGGTTATAGGGTATAAAATATCGTGCTGTGACTAATGGGAACGGAGAAACAGCGGAAAGAACGAAGAAAGAAGCAGCATATGCTTATCTTTTATTATTAACTTGCAAGAACGACGGGACGCGTTCGCGTGGGTAATAGTTTAAATTTTTAAAGATGAAAAGGTTTGCAAAAACAAATTTGGATTCCCAAATAAATATTCTACGGGGACGAAGTCGCCGACACAGCTATTATAAGATATTACACCGATGAAAATACCTGAGACTTTCTTCTTGTACTCCTCAGGCTTGTGTAGGTACATGGCAGCTGCGTCTCCATTCAACGGGTCGATGGGGTTCGGGTAAGTCAGCAATTGGGGCAGAAATGATTCAAATATGTTGGAAAGATCTGAAATTTATTAATAATTATTATATTTTATTAATTATTAGTTAGAGAGCTGATTTGACTGGAAAACCAGAAGTTTAGAGTTATATTTTGTAATACTACTTAGAAAAGAAATTCCTAGCATGTATACTAGGATAATACTAGTATTCAACGTCATATTTTAATACTGTCTATAGTTGACGCGAGTAGTACACATTCGAATAAAACACTACCGGTTCAAAAGGCGACGTATATTAGTAAAAATCCCAATAACTTTATCTTATATATACATCGCGTTTTAAACCGTTAAAGTGTTTTATTTAAACATCATATGTATTTCGTTTCTTGCTACTGTATGTATTCATGAGTTATTAAACTGCTGCCTGCAAAACTTTTGAGTACTTCCTGAAGCAAGGCCGTGAAGTATTCTCTATATTCTGCTGATTTTATTTACCATATAATGCTGTCCAGGCCTGGTTGATGACATCAAGGCAGACGGTACCGGAAACCTCATCAATATTAGGATGATATACTTTGTTCATGAAGCCGATGGATGGAGACTTGAATGGGTAATGGTCCGGAAGGTGGACGCGAACACGCCAAACTCCACCTTCGTACGGAGCTGAAAGAATTGCAAATAAACATTTAGATCAAAATGCAGATAGAACATAGAAAAATGATTAGAGAAAATATTGTCTATAGTTTACGCGAGTAGTACACATTTAAGTAAAACACTTTAACGGTTTAAAACGCGATATATTAGTTAAACTTATTTGGAAATGATTTTTAACTTCGGCCCGACGTTTCAGCAGCCGTGACCACTGTCAGTGTTTTATTTAAATGATTAGAGAACTTGAGGAAGGAGTATGAGTTTAATAGTAGACCGTATGAAGTAATTTCAATATTATAATAAAGTTTTATTTTCTTTTCCACTTTTTTTTTTATATATCCAAAGCCAACAGTACTTCTTGTCAACTACCCAAGTCTTGTCAGGTTGTCTATCGTTATCATAAAAATTATAAAATCGTAAGCCTCGTCAATCCTCGTTCATCATAAAAAAATAATAATATTAAATTATAATACCGATTTTAGATTTTAAAAAAAATGTACGAAGCGAGCAGGACTCAAACTGGCATCCACAGCGTTCCGCGCTGTTGCTCTAACCAATTGAGCGGCCGAGTCCTACACGTCATCGTCGATTTTTTTTAACCTTATACATGCAACTCTTGCACATAAAGACTATTTTCGTTATACATACTTCCTGGTGGTCCGAAGAATTTCACACAAAACTCGTTGAGTCCACCCAGAATCGTCACCTCATGCTTACTTTCAATGCTGCAATATTGAATTAAGGAGACAATATTTCTTTATCATTGACAAAAAATATTTTGCTTACATAAACATATTGTCATGTTAAGCGATTTCTATAAAGGAATTTCTAGCACTTAAATTGTCGCGTTTTATAACTAGGCGCCTGTCGTGGACTCATTCAGACATTTCTGCTCAATAGAATAATCTTTACTATCAACGAAACAATAAAACAACTGACCATGAAAGCCTACATCTGGTTTCATATGCCTATACGTGATAAATCCATAAAAAACATTTTAAAGCTGAAGAGTTAAAGTCACAGGAACTTCAGGTTTGAATTAAAAATTATTTCGCGTTGGATAAATCATTTATCGAGGAAGGCTTAGGTTATTTGACATCACGCTACGACAACAAAGAACAGTACGAAAGATGGGGAAAACGGTTCTAGAAACCATAAAATATGTATGAAAGAATGAAATTTGAATGATCTAAAAATATGTCCGCGAAAGTATAATATGTCTATCTTTTAAGAATAATTAGTAAGACACATTAATGCAAACCAAACCGTTGTTTTGTTTGACGATTCAGCTAGTCATTATCATTAAAAAAAAACAAACAAAGTTTGTAATGGCAAGTTAATTGCAGTAAATTATGAGGAAAAAATAATTTAATACCTAGTACACAGTGCCCATGTTTACAGTGTCACTTTGTATACATAGACATATACACTTTAAAAGTTTTCTGGCACGCTCGTTGGTCGAATGGTAACAATGTATGGCTAATAATCAACGGGACGTGGGTTGGACCTGGTGGGGATCGAACTGTGTCTCTAATTTTTCAACTTATAATTTTTTCGAAACATACTAGACATCTTGGAAATCTGGATATTAAAGGGTAGGTGGTGGTGTGAATAAAGAAATCCCGTCCGGGGCGCGAACCACCGTCCACAGGTGAAAAAGCCGTGAAGGTTAATCGCGTTTCGGTTTCAATCTATATCCACAGATTGAGACCCAAAGCCAAAATAGGTCGACATCGTATCTTGTTTAGATGCTATAGGCGGGGGTATACCACGTACCATCAACCCATGCCTTGTCTGTCCTCCTATATTATTAAAAAATCTATCAACATGACAACAAGACATTTAATATGCTGTAACCGACTCTGATCAAGGTCTTATCATATAAACATATGTTGTTCATTATATTCAATGTTCACACAGTGCACTCATGAGCTTATAAGCATAGAAAATATATTAAAACTCATTACACTATCAGTCCAGAGTTCATATCCCGCCTGAATCAAGTTTTACTCTATAAATATATTGAATCTTTTTATTGTGTCCAGTATAATAAAGTAAAGAAATAACCTTATTTTAGGCAGATTCAATTCAAGATTGCCTATAAAAAGTACACATTTAAATAAAACACTGTTAACTGTTTAATACGAAACATATTAGTTAATCTTATTTTTTAATTTTGACTCCCATCACAGCTGTTGCAGAGCAACCGCCGTGATCGTAACGGAAAACAACAATAATTGAACTATATTTCATGTTTTAAACAATTATACGCGTTTTATTCTTCTATAGCAGCAGTTTGCTTTGATACAGAATATAAATTAATTTACTAGACAATACATTATACATATACTAATTTGTGTGGAACCTAATATGGTTGTGCGATCATTAGGATTATTACAAACGCGTTGGACACCTTCTTTGGGGAATTGCTCAGCAACCAAGTCTATATATTGCACTAGCTATGCCCGCGACTTCGTCCGCGTGGAATAGTGAATTGGGGTAGATTTTTTTTATTATTTAGACTGTTTAATTATTTATGCAAGGGCGCATTTAAGGCAGCCTATCTATGTTGTAAGTGCTACTTTGCCGCAACACTCTCACCTCACATCACTCCTACTCTAACTCCCACTCTCATTCCTACACTCACTCTCAGTCCCACTCCCACTGGCACGCTCACTCCTACTCCTTTTCCCAAAAAGCCAAAGAAGAAAGTTTCATTGTTCTAGCTTCAGAAACCACGAATTTCCATACAAACTTGAATCCCCCTTTTCAACCCCTATTAACCCTTATTTAAAAAGTAGCCCATGTCATTTCTCAGGCTCTAAAATATCTGTGTACCAAATTCCATTCAAATCAGTTCAGTCGTTTCGGAGTTAAAGTCGGACAGACAGACAGACAAAAAAAAATTAAATGTTGTTTTGGTATGAGTACCTTGTATACATCCATATGCATTAAGTAAAAAGCGGTTATTTTAATGTTACAAACAAACACTTCAATTTTATTTATTTGTATGTATAGATAGCTGTTATCCACGATATTCGTATGCCGTCGTACGCGTCCCGTCGTTCGGGTCGTTCTTGCAAGTTAATTTTAAAAGATAGACATATAGCGTCGCGGACTTTTTTTTAGAGTATTTAAAGGGGAATCATTCTTTCTTACACAATTTTTAGGTATCTAGAGCATCTGAAACTTACAGAGATGAAAAATTTCCCCGTTTTGTTTACATTTTTCGCTGTATCTTCGCTCCTATTAGTCACATCGTAATGTGTTATATGTGCCTATAACCTTTCTCGATAAATGCTCTAACACAAAAATATTTTTTCAATTCGAACCGAGTTCAAACATACAAACTCTTCAGCTTTATATATTGGTATAGATTAATAATAAAAATTCTAATGTTTTTTGCTAAAAGTACTATAACAATAGTTGTAATTATGTCCCTATAAATAGTTTGGGATAATCTTATTATTCTACTAATAAACAAATTATGATTAATAAATCATAGATTTTATATTAAGTTTGTTTGTTATTTAAAAATTACCCAGGTACTTGTCATTAAAATCTTCTGGAAACATTAAACATAACATTTGTAAAACTGAAAATAATATGAATAAACACACAAAAATATAAGCTTAGATACAAACAGCTAATACGGGAAATATTCTGTGTGTATTTATGATAACATTCCTTATCTGTCTAGCTAGAGCGTGTGAAAACTTTATCCACTTAAATAATGTTCCCCTTAAGCAGGTAGTAAAGAGGCAGTATTATGATAATGGCGATTACTCATGATACCATTATTGTATTTCTTATTATTTATAGTTTAATTTTTAAAATCTAACTTGCCAGTAGCAAGTATTTGATATAGAATTAAAAATGAGCAATCAGTAGGTTTATAAAAATATAAATTTCCCAAAGCGTAAACAAAATTAAGATTTAATCTAAACACATTTATAAATGAGTTATTCACCCCAAGAGGTCATTAAGATAATGAACTTAATGAAATTTTCACAAACCATTACTAATCAAAGCTTTAACGCTCGGAGATATAAATCATTTTTGTTTATTAATAACTATTTACATCATTAATGACGTTTGGCAAAATACCAAACACTGAACTAAGTTGACCCGTAATCAGTCTTTTAAAAGTAAAAACAAAGGTGCATTAAACCCACAGCTAAAAAAAAACAAAGAAAAAAAGTTTCAACTGTGTTCTATTAACATTGGTTAAAGGGCCGTGAATGCAAGATAGGTAATGAAAATACGCAACAAGACCATGGCCTACATATGAATTACGAAATCCAATCTAAGATACGGAAGAACAACGTTCTATAGAACGTTATAACGTATCGTACGTATCTTCGTGCGTACTATGTATAAATGTATCTATACACCTACATACACAAACGCCCTATCATTTCACAATCCCTTTAATTATCCTATGAATGATTTAAAGTAGCCCTAAAGATACTTTAAACCTCTTAATGGGGCAATAAAGGCTTTGTGTTACCACACAAATAAGTGGTATCGATTTTGTATTGGATCGTGACAATCAGCTGATGGCCCTTCATCTACCTACTTATTTACAATTGATATGGAAGACCAACGCAGTAGGTGCTTTGTACCACTAGGTATGGAGTTAAACAAAGGATACAGCTTAATGACGTCCGTATCCATACGGCGTTTCCCAGCGCTCGGTGACGACATCTTCGTGATCTATTCCCGATAAATCACTGTATCGAACACGAACACCAGCACAAACTCACTCTCGACGCAGCGAGAAAAATTATTCGTCCACCAGCAGCAGTCAGAAAAATAACATTGTAGAAAAACAATGGACACGTTCCATAGACTAAAATTTCGAAGATGATGTGTAACCACTGTGATATTATTTATGTCAAAGTATTATTATTCGTTAGTTATCTGTTGTCTAAATTTTCTATAACATATATTTCATTGTTGAAATAAATACTCATAAAGTACGCTTGTTACTAAACCTGGGTAAAAAAGTGTAATTCAAAGTAAAAATAAAAATGAGAATTTGTATTATGGTTCAATAAATGTTCCATTTATTGAACCATAATACAATATTATAGAGAATGGATAAAGATAATCAACATCGGCTATAGACACAGTGATAGACACTAGAGGGTAATGCGTCAAACTAAAAAAAATTGTTTTTGTCTACACCCAATCGTCTGAAAGTTCGCGTGTGTGGTTTAGGAAATTATTTATAATTCATTCTATTATTAGATTTAATACATTTATCACATCTTGTAGTCAGTGAGGAAGGTATGCGTATGAACAGCGACGCTTCATCAGCGCGCGGGGAATTCGGAAACATGTGTTTTGATGTTCATATAACTTTGTGATCTGATGACACTCGCAGTGAATTGATGTCAACAAATTACATTTTTGTCTGATTGTAGTGGTTAAAGTGTTGTTTATTTGATGATAATTGTGAGAGCGTTGTTAGGTGGGTCTCGGGAAGTGCATATGTCGGGGGTGAATGATAACTGCGCTGTAATCAGCCTACTTCCGCCCGCGATGGAGAGCCGATGAATGTTAATTGATGCTTCTGATTTAAAATCATATTCTAGAATGGCGAACCCTACTATCGGGGTTTCGTTTGACCAGAATGACATGTCCAGGTAAAATACTAACTAACTTTTATTCTGCTGCTCTACTCCTTAACTGGCTAATAACCAACTCAAATTGACTGAACCACTCAGCACTAGTATTATTCAAATGTAGTTAACTATTTTCTTTCTATCTCCTTTTTACTATACACAAACTTCTAGTCTAATTTATGTTGTTGCTAATAATTGTTACTATTATAGTGTTGATATTTTTATAATTATTTATTGAATCATTTTATATTTTAATGAAAAACTATCATCACTTGACTGTATTAATTCTTAGTATTAAAAAAGGTTATTTACTGTGTGGTGCATATTTAAGCCTTCTAGTTTTGCAACAGGTTAACTACCTGTAACATAAACATATTCTGTGAAACGTTTTATGGTGTAATTATTGTTCAGTTTACATTCCACATACTGAAAATGCTGTACTTCAATCTTGTGATAAATTTAGGTCTTGTCGAGCTAAAATATTCTCATTAGATACATTATCAAAGCATTATCTATGACAGCTAGTACTCTTCACTTTTTATGTTTGAAACCTAAGAAGTTATAACATTTTGACCAAGATTGATAGGCTAGGTTAGCTTATCAGTAATTTGCTTATACTACAAAAAAAACAATGATCTCTAAAAAAAGACTTGCTTCATTTTCCAAAAGTAGGTGCTACTAAGACATTTTTAGCCCATGTTCCGATAACACAAGTTTTTTTTAAGAGACTTTAAGCTATAGTGACTCACAATTAGTGATTCAAGATTCAATAAAACATTGGTCTGAAAATTATCAGGACATGCTAAGTTTAATGGAAATTTTCCTTTACACTGAGTAACATAATTCTCTTATAGTTGGTATTGTATGTTAAAAAAAATATATAGTTTTGTAATGTATTTCCACGCTATTATTTTTTAATACTGACGGATTTTTCACAAAAAACCTTTGATTTACTATACAGAAAGAGACTTTCTTATCTTCTGTTTGCTTGCCTATCTACTTCAAAATAAATTAGACTGATTATTTAATTGTTGGTATTGAAAATATAACTCTTATAATATTTAAAACTTAATAATAGATATTCATCAGTAGTTGCCTAAAACTATGGAACAAAACATTGGCTTTAAAAAAAATGCAAAAAATGTATATATTAATTGTATATCATCATACTTTAATATATTTTAAAAGTGAGCTAATTATTGACATCTAATTTTTGGTCACAGCTGGTACTTTGGTGGACTGTCGAGAGCGGAAGCAACAAAACTGTTGCTAAATGAAACGGAGAGTGGAGTGTTTCTTGTAAGAGATTCAAAAACTATACATGGAGATTACGTTTTGTGTGTCAGGTAAGAAAAGATTACAACCTACTAACAACTAACTTAAAGTGAAGATGGCTACAATAAGATTTGATTAAGAAGGCTGTGACCATTATGTATTATTTGGCTGTAGTTATATTAGATTATAGTTAAAAAGCATATGTGACAGACCAAAAATGTGTAATAACATTTCTTACTAATATATAATATAATGATATAATAGTAATAATTATATAAATACTTCCATTTACTTTTAATAGAGAAGACGACAGAGTGTCCCATTACATAATAAACCGTATGGTGTCACCTGATGGTAGTACGCGTTTTCGGATCGGGAATCAGCTGTTCGCGGATATGCCGGCATTGCTGGCCTTCTACCGGCTCCACTACTTGGACACCACGCCTCTAGTGCGGCCCCTGCCCCAGGCGAACGCACAAGCCGCTGCCCCGCCGCCGGCGCAGCCCCACCACGTCTTAGAAGTGGTGATAGCCAAATTCGATTTTGATGGTAGTGTAAGTATCCTGTTTCACTAGTTTTATTACTATGGTATATAGTATGTGTTTCTGCGAGATTCGGATTTAGGGCGTCTAGAGCTTAACGCTATGCTGAACAACGTAAATATTCAGTCCTGTGTTTTTAAAGTGGCTTATTGATGTTTCCTACTTTGTAACACCCATAGAAGTGTATGCCTTGGAATCTACTCGTGATCCTAAGACCAATTATATTTATATAGGTCGACAACCTAGTTTCGTGTACCTTATACCTTATAGGTCCTCAAATATAATTTTGTTAAAGCAATTGAAATCCAGAATATTTTGGGCATGTTGAGTATGGACAAAGTATTAAAAGAACAAGCTTTTTATGACTAACTAGTACGAAACCCCACGTAATGGCTTCCTAAATACCTATAATCATTGATTACGACACTGGTTCGGATGTTTCAATACGAAATCCCTAATGTGTGTTCGAGATTGTCGAACAGCTATCTAACGGAAGCGAATATATTCTATAAATAAATAGAAAATGTGGCACTAGGCTATGACTAAACGGTAAATGGTTAATTTAATAATTTCTCGCTACAGATAAAAATAACCCATGAACGATTTTTAGGGCAGACGATGAATAATGGGCTATTTTGTATATTTTCGTAGATTATAACAGTGACCGCCTTTCTAGCTCACTGGTTTAATGTTTCCTAGTATTGCTTAGAGCGGTGCTAGGTTCGAAGCCTGGGGAAACTATAAATTGCTTTACAAGACTGATCAAAGCTGCTTGTCTTAAATAAAACGGGCATACAATTGTTTTACCAACCAACTTTTACATGTAAATGTTCCCCCATGCCCCAAAAACGGAGACGGGGTTTTACTTTGATATGTTCATAATTATTACGATGTTTTTACACACATATATATATACTAATATATAAAACTGAAGTTTGTTAGTATGTTTGAACGCGCTAATCTCAGAAACTATTGGTTCGAAATGAAAAATTATTTTTGTCCTAGAACATTTATCGTGGAAGGTGTGCAGATTTGACGATGAGGACGCGCTAACTCAATTAGTTATAGCAACAGCACGGAACGATGTCCTGCCCGAGTTGAATTTTTTTTTAATTTATCTTCGATTTTTAATCTATGTAGTACCATCATAATATGCAATAACATGTAAAAAATATCAAAGTTTTCAATATGATACTATGTTTCATGAGCCACAGAGGTTCAGCCAATAGACCTGATACATGAGAGAAACGGACACGGGAGATGTGTTAATGATATCGGAAACATGTTACAGGACGCAGACGACCTTCCCTTCCGTCGTGGCGAGAGGCTGATGGTTATCAACCGTGATGAGGAGCAGTGGTGGACGGCGAGGAACGCGCAAGGCCGGACCGGGTCCATACCAGTGCCGTATGTGCAAAGGGTAATTATTAATGGCATTTTTCTAATATATATATATGCATGAGAAGGAAGATCGATCAATATCCTGAAACACAGTTAAAGACAGGAGGCGACCAATTCAATAAAAATGAGTTCTATTAAATACTACCCGTCGTTTCGGATGCCTCGTAGCAGCCGTGGTCACGGGGAGACCGTCGGGCCGTAATTAACATAATTTTCAAAAATGTTTAAATTATACATATCGCGTTTTAAATCGTTAAAGTGAGGTTATGAGTGAGTCCCATTTTTGTGTTCAGAAAAATGTAAGCTTTATTATAACTATATAAATGTAAATAAAACACTTTAAACGGTTTAAAACGCGAAATACTAAACTACTACAGTTAAACTGATTTACATGTTATTGTTACTGCGGCCCGACTTTTCAGACACTCTGCAGCAGCCATAGTCACAGGGAGACGTTATAAGTGTGTTATTTAAATGTGTACTACTCGCGTAAACTAGAAACAGTATGTAACAATTTTGGTAATTTTTTCAGTTGCTGGACCCATCTGGTGTACCGTACCCTGCAAATGAGGCTCTAACTCAACTTGGAGACCCACCGAGTCCTCCGAACAACAAGCAACAGAAAGGGAGTAACATGCAGGTGAGTTAACAACAAGAGAACAAAATTATGTGGTTTGGAGTACAAATCTGAACTAAATCTTGTCTTACTTCCAATTCGACGGGCTCGCTGGTCTAATGGTAGCAATGTATGGCTGGTGATCAATGAGTCGTGTTAATCCCTACCAGGTCCATCATGTTTTCTGAAGCATGCTGGACTTCGTCTTGAAATCTGGATGTTAAATGGGTGGTAGGAATATATAAATTCCGTGCGGGCCGCGAACCGCAGATGCAAAAGCCGTGAAGCTTAATCGCGTTTCGATTTCAGTCTGTGGATTACGGAATAACGTCGCAAGTGCATCTTGTTTAGATGCTATAGTCCTCTATCATAAAAAAAATTGTGCCATCAGTTCAAATCCATCCGACGCAGTCCAAAAACAGGTGACCATTTCACCCAAACGATTGTACTAGATGTAAGAATATCTACTTCTTACAAATGTTATAAACAATATTTGATGTTTATAGATGGAATGTTACAAGATTTTATTTATTACTAGCGACCCGCCGCGGCTTCGCCCGGCTGCAATGCTGATACTAAATATACTACAAAAAAACTTTGTATATAAAAATAGTTGCGTAGTTTTAAAGAGTTAAGCGTACATAGAGACAGAAAAAGCGACTTTGGTACTAGTGTAGTAATGATTAATATTTTTTTTCTTTCAGCGAACTCTGCCCGCGCTAGCCCGCGTCAGACAGTCGAGGGTACCAAACGCTTACGACAAAACCGCTTTGAAATTGCAAGAGGGAGATATACTTAAGGTAAAAAATACTGCTTTCATTAATAAAACATTAATCAACTTTAAAATAAAACACTCTAACGGTTTAAAACGCGATATATTAGTTAAACTTATTTGAAAATTATTTTTAATTTCGGTGCGACGTTTCGGACGCTTTGCAGCAGCCGTGGTCACGGGGAGCATCCGAAACGTCGGGCCGAAGTTATAAATCATTTTCAAATAAGTTTAACTAATATATCGCGTTTTAAACCGTTAGTGTTTTATTTATATGTATACTTCTCACTTAAACTATAGACAGTATTTAATTAATCTACTTCTTTATCTATGGTAAAGATAAATACCCTATACAAATATATAAAACATATTTTTCATATTTATTTCTGTATTTTGTTATTGTACCGTGGTAATTAAATAATTTAATAATAGTGAAATCCCGTTTCACACTCGTGGGGCATGGGGCAAACACATTTTGTTTATGTGAGTTTCACTTCTTTAACAGGCAAGTTGTTGATCAGACTTCTGTGCCCTGCCCGACCGAAACAAGTTTTTTTTTTGTTTCCCTGGGATTCTAACCCCGGACCTCTCGCGCTTAACGCAATGCTAGGACATCCGTTTAACCATTTGGCTAAAGAGGCGGACAAATAATTTAATGAAACCTTTGAATTCCAAGTAACATCTCCAGCTAAACAACCTCTAAATTAATACACTATTGTATTGGTTTTTAAATTCTTTATTTGGAAAAATGAGAGATATAATACTTATATATCATAAATTTAAAAAGTGTAGAAAGAGAGGGGAAACAATGAACATACACTAACACAAATAGATGTGGGTAGTCGCAGAGTATTTATGACGCCGCTAGAGGCAGTGTTACCGCCTCTGTAGCTAAACGGTTAAACGTGTTGCCTAGCATTGCGTTAAGCGCGAGAGGCCCTGGGTTCGAATCCCAGGGAGTTCATTGTTTCGGTCAGGCAGGGCACAGAAGTCTGACCACCGACTTGCCTGTAAATAAAACCGATCAGTGAAACGGACACAGAAATGTTTTCGCCCGGGCATACCCCACGAGGGGAAACTGGATTTCATTACCCTACTACTAGATACAGTGTAGCCTAACTGCAATTTTATGACTCGAGTTATTTATATTTTGATACTATAAAAATAATTCCGCATTTTTATTTTCGTCCTAATTGAAAATCATATAAGTAATACTGTTATAAGAAAGTTTTATATTCCAGGTAACAAAAATGAACATAAACGGACAGTGGGAAGGCGAGCTCAATGGAAAAGTTGGACATTTTCCGTTCACCTACGTCGAGTTCCTAGACGACATTACTAGCTAAGCGCTCAACAAAAAATAATGTGACTCAGTTGAAACAAACAGTGACATAGTGCAAGTGTTAGTGAAAAGTGTAATGGAGTATCATCGCTAGAATTTGATGCAAAATTATGTTTTAAAACTGCAACAGCTTAAATGTTAATCAGACACCTTTTTGAGTTATTATTGAACTTATATGGATGGTGTTTAAGATGTGATAGTTTTGGAATATTGCATTTAATGTACTCATTGATGTTATAATCTTGTTATATTAAAATTACTTTCAAACATATAACTGCGACATAGTAGTTCCTGGGGAACGTGAGTTAATAGACATCATAACTGGTACCCCACAGCTAGTTTGTTAAACTGAACGATTCTAAAGAGATGAAATCTTTAACAGCTACCCATTATCTGTGTTATACAATAACTGAAAAGGAATGGAGAATATCACCGGAATATGGCAATACAGAATATAAGAAATATGCCCACCGAATAGGGCTAAATTTGAAATTTAGTATAAAGATTGTTATACGCACATTTATATTGTCTTAAATATGATTTCTATTTCTACAATTTTCTCACAAATGTAAATTTTATTTTCGATTATTTTATATTGAAAGGCAAAGTATGAAAAGTTTGCTAAGTTACCCTTAATTAGGGTTCAAATTTATAAATAGAAAAAAAAAACTGATACAAAACATTTTGTAAAAACTACATCGAAGTTTTTGACTGCGGAAGCCTTAACTGTAAAAAAATGTAGAGTTATTAAATGTTGATTACTGCCATTTTTACATGTAAACCAATTTATAGAAATTATAATACTAAGGTTTTGTCGTAAAAATAAATATTTGATGTCCAAAGATATACAAACCCTTCAACTTTAAATGAAAGAAACATTACAGTGACAGCAAACATCATATTTTATCAACACGAATCTACTAACTGTTACTTATTCCATATGAATCATCATCAGACTGGAGGTATTTTAGAATACCATTTATCATATTTGATATAGCATTTTAATGTATAGAATTGCAAATGCAATATTCAAATGTTACATACATACTATAGTTTAATTGTAAGGCACACAGTGTTGTAAGCACAAAATATAACACTTATATTTTTTCATAGGGTTCTGCGAAATCCTTACCTTAATACACATAAAAAAAACTGTCAACCAATAATGCAATTAAATTTCGCACAATATTTTAACCAGGATTAGGGAAATTTTGTGCTTGCAACACTGACAAATTATTATTATTATTGATAAATTCTTCCAAAATATGATAGTCAATATTTTTATAATAATAGTTGCTGGTGCAAATCGTTTTTAGTATTAACAGCTTTGGACTGGGCAAGTTTAATGATATTCTTTATTATTAAGACTCGAAAACATTTTTAGTGATCTATAAGATTTTTTAATAATTTATACTAAATATCCAATGTTACACGCTTATATAAGAATTATTGTTTCGAGTCTTAAAAATTCAGTACAATTTTAACTATAAAGGAATTGACTATGTAACAAATAAGCCTGCTTTACAATATTATATTTAATATGAGAACTGCTTTGTAGCCTGCACAATTTTATATCGTTTTATAATACACATAAATCTCATTGCACTTGGCCAGTACATCTTTAAACAAGAGACAAAATATACCAAGGTATGTCTTTTTATTTTAAGGAAATTTGTGTCCCAAAAAAGATTTTGTTTAAATTTTGTATTATAAACATAACAGTATTAATTGACAGAAATAAAACCTATCTATTTAACGAAAAGGTGCTGCCACTTGTTTGATATATAATTGCAATTACATCTGATTAACCTACTAAAAGAAATTATTCCTGAATTATTTTATTAATTATTTTAGCTTTGTATGTTTTGCCTCTAGTGCATCCCAGTATTGTAACAAAGTGGGAATAAATACCAAATGTTATTATCATTGTATAAAATCAAATGAATATATTTTGAGATTACGAATCGTATAATGTATGTATGTATTGTATTTTTAAGTGCTAATACAAATATTTGTCTAATTTTTTATTAAGTTATGTGTAACAATTTTTGGTAATAATAAAATTAGGAAAAATAATGACTACAGTATTTGTTTTTTATTGAAGAGAGATTTAAATGATTTTCCCAAAATATTTTGCATCAATATAGTTTTAATTAAAATTGGGTTTAAATCCCTACCGCCTTTAGTCTTTTAAAACACAATTTAAAGTAATTGAATTCATCGTATTGAATTAAGTCTTTCATAGACGTACCGGAGAGGGGAAAATTGGACGTTTACTGAAAACCTCTCCACACGGCTACTTACAAAGTAATTGAAAACATGGTTTATAATATTCACCGTACGTGAAAAATGGACTTGCTAGGCGCGAAGCTGAATACGCCGATGGCCATATTAATTGAGGCAAAGAAACCAATACACCAAATAAAGATGTAAGAATTGTAAATTAGGATGATGAATATGGCAACTCTATTTTTTTCACTTGTCAGTTTAAAAAAAAATCAGACTCTATGGTTATCTTGACAGTTTATGATTTTTTGTAGATTACTGATTGTGACGGCAAAGTTGATCAATAAAATACATTTAGAAAAAGAAATGAAAAGACGCCAAAGAATCTAATTTCCTATAATAATGTAATGCAATTTCTATTTTATGAATGTTTGAGAGTGCAATCGTTAAAAATAATTGTGTAAATCGATGCCGTGAAATCTTTTAAAGGGTTTCGTACATAGTGTTCAATCATGGCGTATTTCTCCTACAGTTCCGTAGTAATATGATGACATACATACATTTTTCGAGAAATGAACTATGGTGAACTATCAAATTGATACCATTATTTAAAATTTAATTTACTTGTGATATCTCACAGCGAAACCGGTAACTACAGTTGTTGCGTTTAAAATAAATAAAGTTTATTTTTACACGAATTAGTAAAATGGAAAGTGTTGAAGAAACCAAGATAGAACCCAAACAGGAGGATGACTCTGGAAAAGAAACCAAACTAGAAACCAAGCACAAAGTTGTTGCTACTGAAAGAGAAACCTCAACAGAAGATAACAAAATAGAAGTTGAACTAGACAAAAAGGAGATTGAACTTGATGTTCCCAAGAATGAAGATACCAACAACCCAACTGATTCTAAAGTAAACATAAAAACTGAACCTCCTGATGAGCCATTGATGTCTGATATCTTGCATATTACTTTAAGCAGTAAGTAGACTTCAAAATATATCTTTTAACTGGCTCAAAATAATAACTTAATAATTAACTTACCCATTGTATCTATATTGCCTAAGGTGTAAATTCTATTATAAATACTTATTTATTCAATTGTTGTTGATAAAAAAGAACTACATCCTTTTAATTTAGTAAATGAATGATAGAGTTTGTTTACAATATATAAAATTAAATGATGTACATCTTTGTTAAATCATTGCTTAGTCAAGTGGAGCTACATAAGGCTTTAAAACAAAAATGTCCCACGGAAGAGGTTAGTTTAAGTAACTAACCTCTTCCGTGGGACATTTGTGGTACATGTTGCATTGATTTAATTACATGTAATCTATAGTTTCATTAACAGAGAAGCTTTTAATAGGACAAAGGGACCTTATTCACAACTTCATTGCGGATAAAAATCTTTTGCCCTAAGTCAAAAAAAGACAAAGTGGCATATTTAGGTGTTAGACACCACACTGACAACTTTGTTTCCATTTCATATTTTCGATGGCAGTAATCTTATCTTATTAATAACATTAATCCTATTATTTTTTCCAGTAGAAAATGAAAAGACAAGTACAGCACAGTCTTCGACATCAAAAGGAAAGAGCAAAAAGAACAGAAATCCAATTATTCAGAGAAGAAAGAAAATTATGCTCTCGGATGATGAGTGGGAACCAGAGGTATGAGACAACTTTGTATGACTTTATTAAGTTATATATTTTGGTGCTAGTATTTACGATCAGATTTTAATTTTAGATATAGCTTATTTCCAGTTATTGTTAACAAATGTTAATACAGTTATCAGACTTTTGTGTACTGCCCGACTAAAAAATTTTGTATCCCTGGGATTCAAACTTTAGTTTTTTTGTTGTTTAGTTTAGCTGCAGAACAGCTTAGTAAATAATGAAGTACTTAAATCAGTCTCAATTCTTATTTCAGAAAAAACCAACCACAGATAAGGCAGCTAAAGATGGTCCAACAAAATGTAAGAATAATGTTTTAATATTTTTTTAAATTTAAGTTTTACATATTCATGCTACATTGGGGAAAAAGATTATTACCATTTTGTAGAGCCAGTTTAGTTCAATAGTGTTATAGATATAATCTTTGTGAACACATATTTTTAGCCGGTCTTGAGGAATACTACTCTTATGATATACTGAACCAGATAGAAATAGTAACAATCAGTGAAGAGGAGCGTCTCGTGGAGTTGAATGAGACGTACCAGTCTAGAAAACACATGAACTATTTGTGTGAAAAGTGCGCTGTAGGATTTGTTGTTAAAGATGCTTATGATGTACATATGAAGTTACACAGTAAGGTAAATTAAATTTAAGCTTTAAGTGTTGTTGATAAGATAAATTAAATTTTTATCTGTAAGAAATATATAATATAGCTTCATTTTACATAATATGTGTTTGTTTACAATTACTAGATGAGTTATGGTTTTCTGGGCCTTGAAGCTGTGACCTCATGCATTTAATGCTATGCATTTTACCTTTGAGTAACAGAGACAGTTATTTCTTTAGCCAATCAAAAACATATTGAGTTTGTTCTTCTCGACTACTTTGCTATGAAAATACACATATTAAATACTGTCTGTAGTTTACGCGAGTAGTATAGATTTAAATAAAATACTTAAACAGTTTAAAATGGTAAATATATAAGTTAAACTTGTTTGAAATTCATTTTAACTATGGCCCAACGTTTGACATGGTGACACATCACATCATCAACAGCTTTGGTCTTCTTCTGCACAGACGTCAATGTTTCTTGTAAAGATAGTTATCGATAAATATGTTATGTATTAATAACTTGAATACATAATATATGATATTTCTCACTTATCAATACTCGAACCTGATCGATAATTTTCATATCTACATTATTGACTTCACTTGAGTCTATCAACAGTTGACAGTTTCACAAATTGACGTTCACAATTTTTTAAATTAAATTGCCCTCCCTTCCCATGGCACCGCTGCTGCAAAGCATCCGAAACGTCGGGCCGTAGTTAAATTAATTTTCAAATAAGTTTAACTAGTAAAAATCGCGTTTTAAACCGTTAAAATGTTTTATTAAAATAACATTTACTTCCAAGTACACACAGTAAATATTTTCAGGAGTCAGGCGAGCATGTGTGTGATGTTTGCGACACGTACCTAAAGAGCGAGGAGACATTACATCGTCATAAGTTACGTCACTACAGGCGATACAGGTTAGATATTAATTTTTTTTTAAAGCGTGTTTTGATTATCTATTACGAGCTGTGTCAGCGCCTTCGTCCGCGAAGAATAGTAAATTGAGGCATCCAAATTTGTTTTTACGTACGACGTCCCGTCGAGATCCCGTCGTTCTTGCTAGATAATCTTAAGGGACTTTTTTTTAGATCATTTAAAGAGGAATCATTCCGTCATACACATTTATTGGGTATCTTGAACGGTTTTTTCAGCGTACGCCTAGAAAACCCATAACGATAAATAATTTTCCCAATTTTCGTCACATATCTCGCCGTGTCTTCGCTTGTATTAGTCACAGGGCGATGTTTTATAGCTTAATTTTATAGCCTTCCTCGATAAATGCTTTAACCAACACAAAAATATTTTTTCAATTTGAACCCGTAGTTCCTGAGATTAGTGCGTTCAAACATCCAAACCAACTCTTCAGCTTTATATATTAGTATAGATAGACAGGATCTATCAACCATAATTTATTCAGCGTTCAAGTCAAATATATGTAAAGTAAAGTTGAGCCATCGAACTTCCGACCCGTCGATTACATGCCATACAGCTACCATTAGACCCACAAGCCCAATGAATCTCTTTCTATAATGTACATATTAAATTTATCCTCCTTTTTCAGATGCATGGTCTGCAGCGTTCGCTACAAGGATAAGGACGCCGTGGCCGGCCATGTCTCATTTATGCACAGTGGCAACACTTTTAACTGTGACAAATGCGGTTCCAGCTTCAAGTAAGTCATTTTTTAGTCTACAGTCCTTGTTTTTGGCTGGCAACATTGGTTGGTAGGAATATCTACATGATGTTTTTTAATCTGTTATGCCATAGCAAACAGAATAAGAAGAAGTGTAAGTTAGATAGGCTATTGAAAATAAAATTTCAACATTAATCTGGCAACATTGGTTGGTAGGAATATCTACATGATGTTTTTTAATCTGTTATGCCATAGCAAACAGAATAAGAAGAAGTGTAAGTTAGATAGGCTATTGAAAATAAAATTTCAACAATAATTTTTAATTAAATACTGTATGTAGTTTACACAAGTAGTACACATTGAATAAAAAAAATTTAACGGCCAAAATTAAAAAATGTATGAGTTTAACTTATTTACAAATTATTTAAACTACGGGCCGACGTTTCGGATGACTTGCGGCAGCGGTGGCCATGTGGAGGGAGGGCAATTTAATGTAAAAATTGTCAACGTCAATTTGTGAAACTGTCGATAAAGACTCAAGTGAAATCAATAATGTAGATATGAAAATTATCGATCAGCTTCGAGTATTGATAAGTCACGCCGTACTTTCTCCGCAAAAATTGTTTGGGCATTCAAATTTATTTTACCCACAATGTCTGACGCGTCTCGTCGTTCTTGCAAGTCAACCTTAAAAGATAGAGATAGTGTGTTGCGGAACTTTTTTTATATTTTTTTAAAGAGAAATTTTTCTCTCTTACATATTTTTTGGGTATCTTGAAACGTTTTCGCAACGTACGCATCGGAAACTTTCAGAGATAAATAAATTTCTCCGTTTTTACCCCATTTCCAGCCGTTTCTTAGGTCCTATTAGTCACAGCGATGTTTTATAGCCTATAGCCTTCCTCGATAAATGCTCTAACGAACATAAACATAGTTTTTTCAATTCGAACCAGTAATTCATGAGATTAGCGTGTTTAAACAAAAAAACTCTTCAGCTTTATATATTAGTATAGATTGGCCTATCTTTGCTGACGATTAAATGTTATCTATTTTTCCAGGCGTCCTCAGTACCTCCGCCGTCACATAGAACAGATCCACAATAAAACAACGCCAATGGAGTGCCCAATCTGCCACCAGGTGTACTACGAAAGCGGGTGGTACAGGAATCATATAAGGTTAGTTGTATTAGCCCAAGACGACCCAAGAGTAATACGCATTTAAATAAAACCATTTAACGATCTTAAACGCGATATATACTAGTTAAACTTATTTTTAACTATGGCCCGACGTTTCGGTTGCTTTGCATCAGCCGGGGTCATGGGTTCACGGCTGCTGCAAAGCATCCGAAACGTCGGGCCGTAGTTAAAAATAATTTTCAAATTAGTTTAACTAATATATATATCGCGTTTTAAACCGTTACAGTGTTTTATTTGAAACCGTATGTGTTTTAAATCATTGTCACTCTTTTATCTAATGAATGGATGGATTTGTCTAAAAACTTTTGTATATTTGGATGTTATTTGCACTATATAAATTAAAAATCGATTTTACAGCAAAATAAACCTTTGGGTGGATGTCATCTATATACCCTCTCATGCTCATCACAAAGCTTGGTACCTCCCTTTTTTGGAATTGCCGTTTAAGTATTATCTAATAAATAATGCTTTGATTTAAAAAATTAAATTTTTTTAATTTAAAAACTTTTGTACCGTGTGTTTTGATCCTTACGTACCAGAATTCTCAAATTTATAAATCAAATGTAATGTATGCTACATAAAAGCTTGCAAAGTATAAAACTTAACCAGTATACCATTCCAGGAAGCACAACAAGGAAATCCAAGAGTCGAAGACGGTGAAGTGTACCCACTGCGACCGCAAGTTCAAACACAAGTCGTACCTGAAGACGCACATGATGATCCACGAGTCCGTCGGTGACGTCACTTGCCTAGAATGTTCTGGAACGTTCAAGAACTATCACGAACTGGATCTGCACTATAAGGCGGATCACCCCGATAACTTTACCATGTAAGTCTTGAAGTCTTGGAATTTTCATTTTAAAACGTCAAATATGTATCAAGTAGTAAAATTTTTGAAACTTTAATATTTTTCACATGATGGCACTATATACTTTTAAAATCGAAAATTAATTGAAAGCACATGTTACATGAATATTAAAGTTTTCAAACATTATAACTTTGTAATTTTATCTTCAATGATTTCTTAAGCTGCAAAGCATAAGACATTGAACCTTAGAACGCAAGTGTTAAGGTTGAAATTACATTTCGCGAGTGGTGCATGTATCAATAAGTTGAAATTCGACGATAAGGTGCGGGAGTCGATAGCTCAGTTGTTAGAGCACGGAACGCTGACGATGCCGGTTCAACTCCTGCCTGAGTCGAAAATTTTTGTTATTTATTTTTGATTTTTAAATTCAGTAGTAAAATATCAAGATGTTGTAAGTAGTAACTTCATAACTCAGTTTTGTACTAAGAAAACACATACGAGTGCTTTGTGACTTAGTCGTAAAAAACTAACTGCGCCCAATCTGTGTTTATCTGATGTTTATTTGATTCCTTAAAGGACAAAGATGCCTGGCAGTGATATGAATTGCTCCTTAGGTTCATAAATTCACAATAAGTTTTAAAGAGGATACATTATATTTTATTTTATCTAAGTTTGAAGACAGTTTTTTTAGTTTTAGAGCACATTTAAATTTACCTAAGATCGATAATACATTATTGTACAGTGCATTTCATATGTTTTTAGAACCTTATGTAATGATGGATAACACGGTCTGATTTTGATCGGCATTTCTATTAATTTGTTAAATGTAAAAAAGTAGTTATAGCGACGTAACTACAACAGTTAGACATATGCTCTCGCAGATGTTTTTATGATCTTGATATATTCTATAATGTTGTCGAACATTTTTTTCTCCTATCATTAATACTTTTCGCAGCGTATGCGAAGAAAGACGTTTTACGGCTAATTTTTTTACGCCTTCCGTTGGTTTTAGTAAGAATTTCCATAGATGCCTATAGTAATCAAGTACTAAATATAGCCTATGTTACTCAGTGATAATGTAGTTTTGTAATGAAAAAAGAATTATTCAAATCGGTCTAGTACTTGAGTTTATCCATTACATACAAAAATACAAATCTTTCCTCTTTATAATATTAGTATAGATAAGTATAAAGTAATATTTTTTGTTTCAGTCACCCAGAAGAAGAGAACCGCTGCAGCTACTGCAAAAGACCATTCGAGACTCGAGCCAAAATGCATAACCACGTGCAGAGAATGCACGTTGACGGTGGTAAAAAGTATGTTTTTATGTGATATGTGTCTTTACTCAGTAGACGATACCATTTATGATATGTGTAGTTCATGCAAATCTATACTTATATATAGAGATGAAGAGTTTATTTGTTTGAACGCGCTAATCTCAGTTCTACTACTGGTTCGAATTAAAAAAAATATATTTTTGTGTTAGAGCATTTATCGAAGAAGGTATGCTATAAGGCGCGGAGCGAAGAAACAGCAGGAACTGGGAAATTTATTCATCACAAGGATGAAGGGTTTCTGTTGCTCACGCTACGAAAACGGTTCATGATACTCAAAAAATGTGTATCAAAGAGTGATTCCTTTTTCTAAAAAAAATATCTGCGACACTATATGTCCAATGTTTTAAGATTAGCTTGAGAACGACGGGACGCGACCGTCGTCGTGAGTAACAGCATTAATTCATAAAGATAAGGAGGAAGTTTGCAAAAACTAATTTCCATGTCCAAAATAACTATTCTACGCGGACAAAGTCACTGACGCAGCTAGTGAGAAAATAACATTGTACCCTTATATATGTATGTTCTGCGGATTTTATTACAGATATCAATGCGACCACTGCAAGCGTCTATACTACTCGAAGGGTGAAGTCCGTTCGCACATTAAGTGGTCGCATTTGTCGCACGCGGGCGGTCATGCGTGCACGTGCGGACGCGTGTTTCGCACGCCAGTTCGTTTACGGGAGCACGTCGCTACGCGCCATCTTGGCGCTGTAATGCCGAGAGATAAACATTGTCCGGTCTGCAATAAGGCTTTCTCTGTGAGTATCTTTAGTAATCATAAATATTTTTTATCATTCAGACATATAACTTATTTTAAGCAACGTGTCTCCCTCTTTGAATTCCGTTTCGACTTTGTTTGTTTTTCTGTAATAAATAGTTGTCATAGATATGAATATAAACATTTTTGTACTCCATGTCGTCACATTTTAGAATCAACAAGTGCTGACTCGGCATATTAAAAGCCATGCGGGCGAGATGTTCCCCTGCACAGAATGCGGGCGTCAATTCAAGACGCAGTCCTACGTGAAAGTACACTACCAAGTCGCTCATTTGAACATGACGCGTGCACAGATCCGCAAACTTAACCGCAGGAAATTGATAATGGTGGATAGTATGGTACGTATAGATAAAAAAGCCTGGCTCAGAAAGGCTGTATTTGGTGTACCCTAAAGGGGAGACTGGGGCAAAAGGACACATTGTGTCTTTAGGTGGTGTGAGGAGTCAATATTAAAAATTGTAATTAAGTATACAATTTACATATGTATCATTTTGAGAGAGTCACAAATGTAACCAGCTAGGATAACCATACCCCAGAGCATAAAGGTCTTTGAGTTCCATTGGTTATTTGGTTGGCAACAAACATGTTTACATTTCATGTTTTTTTATTTTGTTTCTCTTTCATTCGGGGCGTAAACTATTAGGCTAGGCGACATTTTTTTATATATACGTTTTACATATAGTTTACTTATAAGAAATTAAACATGAATGATTAAAGAAAATGAAATTTCACTTTTTATCCAAAAATAACTGACTGAATTACTACCAATATCCAAGACTTATTTATTGATCCGTGGTCGCGGGGTCACGTGTCTTCGAGAATCAATATAACGGTTTTAATGCATACTACTGGCGTAAACTAAAAACGGTACTACAAAATTTCAGGCATCGACAAAAGCGGAACCGAACGACGAGGATCAACTCTACGGCTGTTCGGAGTGCGACAAGAAATTCAAAACGCAGTCTTACGTCCAGGTCCACTACTACACGAAGCACCTGAACATGTCTCACGCCGACGCGAAGAAGAAATGCAAGGAGAACCGCGGTTTCACGATGCCGGGCGCTTCTAAGAACCCGATGCAAATCGAGGAGGTGTTCGTCAAGACGGAATCAGAGGATATGGAGGCTGAGGAGAACGGCATAGAGATACCAATGTTTGAGACGTTTGTCGATATCCAAAGAACGTCTGTGTAACTGTTAATGACAGGAGAGACTATGTTTTGTAGGGGGCGTTTCCTTCTTTTTATTATAGAGCACGACAGACAAGCGTGGGGTTCTCAGTTTAACAAGACGCGCTTTTGACCTATTATGGATATTCGGAAATCCACAGAATACTGTGGAGGGTGCTTCGTGACGCGGACGGAATTTCGATATTCCTACCAGATTTCATGACGTAAAATGTAAATTGACTAGCTGTGCCCGCGACTACGTCCGCGTGGAATAGTGACTTGTGGTAGAATTTTTAATTATTTAAGCTGTTTATTAATTTATGTAAGGGCGCATTTAGGGCTGCCAATATGTTGTTACTTGTAAGTCCATACAAACTTTCACCCCCCCCTAACCTCTTACAACCCCCATTTCGCAATAAAAAGCGTAGCCATGTTCTTTCTCAGGGTCTAGACCATCTGTGTACCAAATTTCATTCAAATCCGTTCAGTAGTTTTGGCGTGAAAGAGTAACAGACAGACAGAGTTAGTTTCGCATTTATAATATTAGTAAAGATTTTAAAAAATTGGACCCAGTGGGAACAAACCCACAACCCGTTGTTTATCAGCCGTACATTGCTGCCATAACACCAACAAGCCCCCTTTTCCCTTTGTTGACCCACAATCCATTATACAGGTAAAATGAGATACTTTTAGATTGATTGTGCCCGGCAGCAATACTCGTCTATAAGCTATCCATCCATATATATATTCCAGATTAAGGAAAGTGACAATAGAGTTAAGTAAATTAAGGTCGGCTTTCAATATGAAGTTTACAGATGTTTTTACTCTAGAAGAATACATGTGTATGGTGCATTGGAAACATATTCATATAATTTTATGCACTAAATAAGTTCTTAAAATTAAGTTAAGTAATTTAAAAAAATCGATGACTCTTCGATTAATCATACATCAAACAACCTCAACTGAAGTCGGTCAGAACAGAATTTATAATACAACTTTCTCTAATTTATAATTATGGATGATCATTCTTTATAAGTTCAAAATAGAGATGGGCCGAGTACTCGGTTGATACTCGGTACTCTGCGTACTCGGCCGAATAAATCGATTATTTGACGAGTCTACGTTGTTTAAGAAAAGCTATATATTTACCGATATAATTTAAGCAACGCTGTTAATCCAAAAGTATTTATTAGTAATTTAGGAAATCTCAATTAATAAATCCAAAACTATTCTAATAAATGAGTAGTCATGAGGCAAAATTACGAGAATTGACCTGCGCGAACCTATTGGTACTTGTTTACGCGCGCGGGAAATAGGAATATGATTGAATCGAGTTACTCGGCCGAGTACTCGGTTGAAAAAAATTGAGCCGAGTAAAACTCAATACTAGTCACTCGGCAAAAGTGTCGCTCGGCGCATCTCTAGTTCAAGTCCTGTGCAAAAATGTAGTCTTTGTATATATAAAACTTACTGTCATCAATTTGTAACAAGAAAATTAAATGTAGTTAAGTTGATAGGAATAGAACTTGTATAATTTATTGTTATATCTATTGTAAGGTTATGAAATCTATAAACTTGCCCCATGTATGACTTTTGTTGAATTATGAATTTTTATTATTTATTATAAATAACAAGTAAAGTTTTCAACACATAAAATAAGCTTATATTATGTGATAAACATTTTTTTTCTAGTTTCACAATTAATTATGTTAAAAATTTTATTTTCCGATTAGTAAGGATATACTTAGAATATATAAAGTTGGTAGAAATCTATGGATTATATTAATTACTGTAGGGTATTATTTAGACAATATATTCTTATTGTAAACTATTTAAATTCATAAACTTGTTAATAGTAGGACGCAAATTAAACAACATTGTTGATTATAATCTTTTTTAATAAAACCCTTTGATCAAAAATATATTTCTAGCATCAACAAGGGTTCCCAACTTTTGGAACCCTGAATTTAGCTATCACAGCACAACTAATGCTAGATCATAACTGTTATTAAAAATATAAAACATGGACCTCCAGATTTTGGAAGGTTAAATATTATTACATGAGTCACCCTTTGAATCCGGAAGGATTGGAAACCCAAGCAGCAATGTTGCTGCTTTATTTAGAAACATGGACATTTTTAAGTAACAGCAATATACAAGTATAAAAAATTCCCCAAGAATTAGTAACCTCAATTTTTTTGTTCAAAATTTTAATCTTCTTCCCAGCTGACAATTTTCTTGTCATACCATACATATTCTCCTTTTACCGAGTTTGGGGCATCCAAAGCTAGGAATAGTGGTGCCGCAGCACCTTCATCAATGGTTAGAACACCTCTATGGGAGCTCATGTCTGTATCAACATACCCGGGGTGAACTGCATTGACTTTAATATCTGAAAGTTGTGAGAGATAATAATTATTTTAAATACTTGACTATCCTAATTTTTCATTCTTTTTAAAATAAAATAAAATTTTACCTCTATCAGCAAGCATTCTCTGCTGTATCTTTGTCAGTGCTGTCAAACCGACTTTGGAGACGACATATGATGAATTTCCCCACTCTGCTGCATGAGTACCTGCCTCTGCAGCATCTACGTATTGCTGCATCAAACTAGATAACTCTGTTATCGTTAAACTTGTGTCCTTGAATCGGTTTCTTAATTTCTCGCTAGGAATATTTTTAAGCCGTCCAGCAGAGCTAGATATATTAACTACTCGGCTGCCGTTCCTTAAAATAGGGAAAAGGAAGTCACAAGTCGATAATACTGAGAAGTAATTAACGAATATCGTTTGTTCAGCTTGAACTGCCACAGGATCCGGTGCGTTGCCTTTGAACGCGATAGCAGCATTATTGACTAGAATATCCAGCCCCCCGTAGTTGTTCTTCAAGTAATCACGAAATACCTCAATACTCGTAGGGTCCGTGATGTCTAGTTGGTGGAATCTCGGTTGCATGCCTTCTTTATTCAGTTCAGCAACGGCGTTTCTTCCGCGACTTATGTCTCGCGATGTAAGATAAACTACGCCATCAAAACGTTGGCAGAGACCTCGCACAATAGCGAAACCGATTCCTTTATTGCTGCCAGTAACTACAGCCACTTTTGTAGCCATTTTGATTATTGAACAAGAGCTTTAGCTTAACCGAACGAGATGTTTCTTATTCCCAAGACATGACAGCAATAATAATAGCGCGATGTCACTTAATTTATCAGCTGTTATCGCAAGTCAGTTGTCATATCAAAGCACTGGGAAAGGTACTGTTATCAATTTTATTGATATGTTTTAATTAAGTTTTAAATAATTTTATCGCTGGGTAAAAGCACATCGGGGAAACCACATGATATTGAGGAAACCATTTGATATGTATACTGTAATCTATATTTAGGTAACATGGTCATGACACTGCGCATTGAAAATACTAAAACCAAAACAGCAGTCTAGTTCTAGACAACGCCATATATGAGATTTATATTATGTATATAAGTTGGTACGGTTTAAAAACATATCCGCAGGATGATCGGAGAATTGTAAATATTACCAAATTTATAGATTTAAATATAACACTTTAAAGATTTAAAACGCGGTATATTAGTTAAACTTATTTGGAAATGATTTTTAACTTATATATCGCGTTCTAAAACGTTAAAGTGTTTTATTTAAATGTGTACTACTCGCGTAAACTATAGACTGAGTATTTAAATTTATAGATTTTAAATATACCCCAAACATTTAATATCTATAAATTTAGAAAGACATGTATTTCAGTCGGGATTTCCTGCGGCAGACCGTGTTAAAATTGACCATGCTTAAGCATGGTCAATTTTAACACGTACACAGTACACACGTGACACAGTATTTAAATACTGCCTATAGTTAACGCGAGTAGTACACATTTATATAAAGCACTTTAACGGGGAGACTCCCCGTGACCACGGCTGCTGCAAAGCATCAGAAACGTCGGACCGAAGTTAAAAATAATTTTCAAATAAGTTTAACTAATATGTATATTGCGTTTTAAACCGTTAATCTGTTTTATTTAAATTGGCCTTGCTTATTTTCAAAGCAATCAAAAGTGTGTACAACTACAAAAATTGATTCACGTCGCTGTCTCTAAATTCCCGACAAAATCAGAACACAAAATAAGAGGATAAAATTTCGCCAAAAACTACTCGACCACGGGGTTATCGGTGCTTTATCTCCGAGAATAGCTATATATAAGCCGTATGGACAAAGGTAGAAGCATTCGAAAATCAAACAGCGCGATGGACCGGTGCACAATCCTACTATTTCTTTGTTTAGTTGTGAACAGCTTCTTACCGTCGCTTGGATTCTACGGACCGCCTGGACCGCCTGGACCTCAAGGACCCCAAGGACCGCAGGGTTACCCAGGAGCAACGGGGTACCAAGGACTAGTTGGTGGCCGTGGGCCACCCGGTCCTCCAGGGTCGCGGGGCACTCCCGGACTTCCTGGACCTCTCGGACCTCCCGGACCTCTTGGACCTTCCGGACGTCCTGGACTTCCCGGCCCGCCCGGACCGCCCGGTCCTCCCGGGAAACCTGGTCTTGCAGCGCCACGCTTGGAAGTAGGGAAAGGTAATGAATTCGGATCCCTAGCCAATAAGATAATAGGTAGTGACCATTCAAAATGTATGACACCAATTGTTGTTTTTTTTTGTAGGCCACTAAGGATGCCGCGAGGGTCTCCACTGTAGCTCAATTAGTTAGAGCAGCAGTACAGATTACTAAGGATGCCAAACCCCACCCGTGTTGTAATTTTTTTTTTAATTTTTATAATAAATGAGTTTTTAGATGTCATATTTTTTTCACTTGGTTAATAATACAGTTCAATACTACAATGACTACAGACAGTAGTGAATTAAATCTTTATGTATTAACTAGCTGAGTCAGCGACTTCGTCCGCGTAGAAAAGTTATTTTGGGCATCAACTCATAACTTTAAGGACATAAATCTAAGGTGTTACCCACGCTTTCATCAGCGTCCCGACGTACTTGCAAGTTAATCTCAAAATGATAGACATAGACTATTGTAGACTTCATATCATTGTCTTTCGGGCTGTCCTTCTCACAATGATATGCTGAACGATGGCCGTGAAAGCCTTTTTTTAGATAATTAATAAAAGACGAATTATTCTTTCATACATATTTTTTGGGTATCTTGAACCGTTTTCGCAGCGTACGCAATGGAAATCCTCAAGCATAAATGATTTTCCCCGTTTTTTTCGCATTTCCCGCTGTCTCTTCTTTGTCTTTTTTCGCCTATAGCCTTCTTCGATAAATGCTCTAATCAACACAAAAATAATGTTTTAACTCGAACAAGTGGTTGCTGAGATTAGCGCGTTCAAACAAACAAACAAACTCTTCAGCTTTATATATATAAGTACTAGCTGTGTCCGCGTGGAATAGTGACTTGGGGTAGAATATTTAACTATTTAGGCTGTTTATTAATGTATGTAAGGGCGGTTTAAGTGTAAGTATGGGCGCAGCTAATTTATGTTGTAAGTTCTACTTTGCCGCAACACTCACATCACTCCTACTCTAACTCTCACTCTCACTCCCACTCCCACTCCCACTCCTATTCTCAAAAAGCCAAAGAAGAAAGTTTAATTGTTTTAGCTTCAAAAACCACGAACTTTCATCCCCTTATTCGACCTCTATCACCCCTTATTTGGCATTAAAAAGTAGCCTTGTCCATGTCCGTGCCATGGACTTTCTCAGGCTCTAAAATAACTATTTACCAAATTTCATTTAAATCAGTTCAGTAGCTTCGGAGTTAAAGACAGACAGATTTCTATCGTAATCTAGTACTAAGTATAGTCTATTTTACTCGATGATAATGTAGCTGCCTAATGCAAAAAGAATTATTAAAATCGGTCCAGTACTTTTTGAGTTTATCCGTTATATACAAAAATACAAATCATTTCTTTTTCTAATATATATAATAGCTGTTACCCACGATATTCGTATGCCGTCGTACACGTCGCGTGACGCGTCGTTCGGGTCGTTCTTGCAAATTAATCTTAAAAGATAGACATATAGCGTCGCGGACTTTTTTTTAGATTATTTAAAGGGACATTCTTTTATACACAATTTTTAGAATCTTGAACCGTTTTCGCAAAATTTCCCCCGTTTTGTTCACATTTTTCGCTGTATCTTCGCTCCTATTAGTCACATCGCAATAAGAATATTTCAATTCGAACCCATACTTCCTGAGATTAGCGCTTCCAAACAAACAAACAAACAAACTCTTCAGCTTTATAATATATTAAGTATAGAAGTATAGATATAGATAGATAATAATTTTATTGTAATCATTTATTTCCTTATAACATTGTACTAAATGCATGCCAAATAAAGAGATTTAATATTTTTTAATAAATTTCCCGAACTACAAGAGAATTATAACTAAGAAATAAATGTAATACTGAAACTAATGTAAGTTAGTAAACATTAGTTTTGGTATTTATATTCATACTAATATATAAACCTGAAGAGTTTGTTTGCACGCGCTAATCTTAGGAACTACTGGTTTGAATTGAGAAATCTTTATGTGTTGGTTAGACCATTTATTGAGGAAGGCTATAAAACATATCGCTGTGACTAATAGGAGCGAAGAAACACCGGAAATATTATATAAAAAAATATTATATGCTTGTGGTTCTTCGTTGCGTACGCTGCGAAAACTGCAAGATACCCAAAAAAAAATTAAGAAAGAATGACTTCTCTTTAAATATGTCTATTTTGTAAGGTTAACTTGCAAGAACGACGGGAGGCGGACGACGTCGTGGGTAACAAAATAAATTGATAGAGTTGAACAGGCGGTTTGCACAAACAAAGATTGATGCCCAAAATAACTATTCTACGAGTAGAAAGTCACTGACTCACAAGGCAAATATTTTATGAATTGACTTATTTATATTCCAAAAAAGTTAATCTACAAGAGCACAGTGACTGAAAATTTTTAACATAATTATTACACAAATAATTTAACTCTCTTAATTAACTGCGCATTTTTATTTTCCTCCTAATTGAATCATGTTTTCTGTTATTAGGCCACTCTGGCTCTAGTCGTCGTGGTAGTAGTCTAATATATTTGTTACCGGCAACGTGATTTACTGGGTATTATCAAAGCTGTATTCCTTAAGATTCATATATGATAAATTTTCTCAACATTTAGACTATTTATATATTTTTCGGAATTCCGTCCAGGGCACGAACCACTGTCTACAGATGAAAATGCCGATAACGTTAATCGCGTTTCAGTTTCAGTCAAAATACGTCAATAGTCCACCTTGTTTAGATGTTATATGGCTGGAGTATTTCATCTGCCAATAATTGAACCAATGCTTATCTATCCTTCTGTATTATAAAAAAGATATCTTTACCACAAGCGAGATTTGCACCTGTTGTAGTCGTCGGAGAAAAGGTTTCTTCTATGTGACTGTTTTATTTAGAAATATTTGAGCAGCAGATAATATCTATACTAATATATAGGCTGAAGAGCTTGTTTGTTTGTTTGAACGGGCTAACCTCAAAAACTACAGGTTCGAATTAAAAACAAAATGGTTTGAGCGTTTACTGAGGCTATAAAACATCGCGCTGCGACAAATAGGCGTGAATAAACAACGAGAAATGTGGAGAAAACGGGGAAAATTAATTAGTCTTTGTGTGCTTCCGTTACGCTGCGAAAACGGTTCCAAATACCCAAATAATATGTAGAAATGAATGATTCTTCTCTACATGATATAAATGATTATCCACGACAGTATGTGTCTATCTTTTAAGATTACCTTGTAAGAACGATGGCACGAATAATAGCTTAAATTAAAAAAAATAGAAAGTTGGAGCTTTTCAAAAACAGATTCGGATATCCAAAATAACTATTCTACAAGGATGAATTCGCTGACATAGCTAGTTGCCTATATTTCATGCTATAATATGTGTCGAACGCCAAGGGGCGCAACTAAAGCTGAATACCTAAAAGTAAACAATACAGACATTTATTTTCGTACAAATTGAGGATAACATTCGCACAGGGAAAACCAAGGCAAGGGTTATCACGGCGTTATCTTTGTAACAGCTATATAGTATATACACGTCCAGTCTCAAACGGACGAGCATTCGAAAATAACTCGCCAAGATGTATCGTTGTTTACTCCTACTCGTCTGTTGCTCGGTTGTGAACGGCCATTGGTGTCACGGAGACAAGCCGTGCCCTTGGAGACATGGTCCTCACGATTTTCGACACGGACCGCATAGACATCTACCCGGCTTCTTTGGTCCACCTCATCATGGGCCGCACGGACCTCATCGACACCCACCCTTCGGCCCTCCGCCCGGTCAACAGGGGAGACGCTGGGACCAAGGGAGCGGTAACGACTTCGAATCCCTAGCCAATCAGTTCATTGCAGAGGACGAAGCCTATCTCAACTATTGCAATGGGAATAGAAACAGCGTGAGAGAAGTCTACGGCGACGACTCGTACATGCTTATATACTCTGTGCCGGGTTTGAAAGGTGGAAATGTGAAGGTTCAGATCAAGCATAAGCTAATCAACGTCGTCGCTAACGCGGGCGGCACAGACTTCGATGACATCAGGATTCTTCCCAGCATAGTGGACTCGGCTGAGGCGAGATGGTATTTGGATGGTGGTACTATTAAAGTGCTTCTTCCATACAAAATTCGCATCAACATGGAGATGCCGAAGCGCTGTGAGACTATCGATAGGAACGTGATAAATGTGCAAGAACTGCCAGACATTTCGAACTTGGAGCGGCAGGATCCACACGGTTATGCCGTTCCGAATTTCTCGCCGAAAGCAAAAAGGTCGCAGTAAACGAGTCATCTTAATTGGATGTACACACGAGATATAACTTGCGCCATTTAAAAGTGTAACGATGTGCAATAAATCTTTTTTATCATAAAAATTATTCATATTTCAATCTAGTATATAATATGCTTATGTCACACTATTATATACCTCCAAAACAGTATGATCAATTTATATGACTTTATCTATTTCTACGGCAACTTTTCATATCACTAAGTGCTGTCTATTTATTTTTTGTTTATTGTGAAACTAGCGGCCCGTCACATACTGCTAAATAAACCATAAAAACTGTAAACGCTGTATATAAAACCTTCCTCTTGAATCAGACTATCAATATAAAATAACGAATCGAATTCCGTTGCGTCTTCGCATTCGAGCTTCGTATTCGAGCCCAGGACCTCTGAACTTAACGCAATGCTAGGCATCACGTTTAACCATTTATCAACAGAGACGGTCGATAAGTTGGTTATTTTTTCAACACGGTTTGATAAAGCCGAATACAAGTTTATACAAGATTAAAATCTTGTATAAACATAATTAATGCAGTTTTTTGATAAATAATGTTTTATTTCACCTGAAAGGATAGTTGCCTACTATGGCGGATAGTAAGTCTAGCGTGTTAAATGCTTCGAGGGATACTTGCCTTATGCGAGGATAGTCGCCTCCTTACGATTTTATTTAAGATAGAAAGAAAGTTATATCAATCAAAGTAATCTTTATTATTTACTCAACAATGTGTACCTACTATGTGTAATCTCTTTTTGTAATATAATTGTGATCTTCTAATTGTACTACATATCCAATTAAGCAAAACTTAAATAAATATTAAATTAATTAAGAATATAAGTCTTAATTAACGATGAATAATTTCCCCGTTTTCTTCACATTTCCCGCATTTTCATCATCAGATGTTATATAGCCTAGAACCTTCCACGATCGATTTTTTAACCAACAAAACAGGTCGAACCAGTAGTTCCAGAGATTAACACGTTCAACAAACAAACTTTTCACCTAATATATACAATTAGTAGGTACGTAAAACGCAGACAAAATACTTATGTATTAGCTAGCATTGTCAAAACACTCCGACTTACCTTATATTTATTATTATTTTAATGGACATTTACGAAAATTAATATTTAAGATTTTATTTAATTCAGTATGAAATTGCAGTTTTTAATATATTACAGAATATTAATGTAACTAAGATACCTTAGGTCGCGAATTAGTCACGACTGCTCCTGTATAGCATCCGAAATTGGTCTGAAAGTAGGAGACATGCTGGTATAATTTTTTATCATAAAAAATACAACATATACACAATATATACAACATACATCATAATATGTATTTAGATAGTTATGAATATATTTCAGCCGGGAGTCGAACCTGCGGCAAACCGCGTTTAAATTAACCATGCTTAAGGGCAGACCCCCTGTATTTTTCTCAAAGCAATCCAAAGCGTGCAATCTACAAACATTCTCTGTCTCAAGGTTGGCGTCAAAACCAGAAAACAAACCAAGAGGATAAAATTTCGCCAAAAACTATTCGATCACGGGGTTATCGGTGCGTTATCTCGGAGAATAGCTATATATAAGCCGTATGGACAAAGGTAGAAGCATTCGAAAATCAAACAGCGTGATGGACCGGTGCACAATCCTACTATTTCTTTGTTTAGTCGTGAACAGCTTCTTACCGTCGCTCAGTTTTTGGGGACCGCCTGGACCGCCTGGACCCCAAGGACCGCAGGGTTACCAAGGGCCAAGGGGATACCAAGGACCAACGGGTTACGAAGGGCAGCCCGGTCCCCGTGGTCCACCCGGTCCTCTAGGGTTTCCGGGGCCTACTGGACATCGCGGACCGTCCGGCCCTCCCGGACCCTCTGGACCTTCCGGAAGCCCCGGACCGTCCGGGCCTCCCGGACCGCCCGGTCCTCCCGGGCAGCCTGGTCTCGCAACGCCACGCTTGAAAGTAGGGAAAGGTGATGAATTCGAATCGCTAGCAAATCAGATAATAGCTAGTGACGAAGCCTATCTCAACTACTGCAACAAGAATAAGAACAGCGTACAAGAAATCTACGGCGACGACTCATATATGCTGATATACTCTGTACCAGGTTTCAAAGGTGCTAATGTGAATGTTAAGATAAAACATACTCTAATCAGCGTGGTCGCCATTGAAGCTGGGAAAGAATTCAAAGACATGAGAATCCTACCTAGCATGGTGAATACCACTGCGGCTGCGTGGTATGTGAATGGTGAAACAATTAGAATGCTTCTTCCGTACAAAATTCGCCTTAACCAGGAGATGCCGAAGGTCTGTCAGACTATCGATGACAACGTGAAAGATGTGCAAGAAATGCCAGATGTTTCGAATTTGGAGAGACAGAATCCACACGGCTATGCCGTTCCGAATTTCTCGCCGAAAACAAAAGGTCACAGTTAACAATAGATTTCTCTTAATCAGATACATGAAATAAAATGCTTAATTTAATAGCGCTATTACATCTAAATTTGTTCTTTGTTAACCTATTCTTCATCTTTATAAATTTAACGACACGACACGACATCGCGTCCCGTGTTTCTTGCAAGTTAATTTTTATAGATCATTTAAAGAAGAATCATTTTTTCATACAGAATTGAATGGTGTCTGAAACCGTTTTCGCAACGTACGTTTCAGTAACCCACAGAGATGAAATATTTCTCCAATTTTGTTTACATTTCCCGCTGTTTCTTCGCTTGCGCGTGTTAGATTTTTTTTATAAAAGAGAACCTAATATATGATTATAGACACTGGTTTATATGAGATTTTAAGGATAACATGTAAATAACAAGAAGATATACTGTCAAAAGCTATTCTATTTCGTTAAACAAGATGTTATACTTCAGCAACGTATTTCCCATAATAACGGCAACACATTTATTATATAAAAACGTCTAGGAATCTAACAAATAATGGTACCCCAATTATATATTAATTTGAAGATATTTATCTATATATTACACAAGGTTACGATACTTAATTGACATATATTGATGCCAATTCAATATAATAAAAAGTACATAATATCTCACAACCTATTTATTACAATATAATAATGTACATCATACCTGAACCATCCAATGTTCAACCAACGTTCGCATTATAGGTATTAATACAGATATACGATTTTAAACATATTCTGAAACCTCTAACGTTCCAAACAACGTTCCAACAACGTTCCACCAGCGTTTACCCTACGATCGCTCCAGAGCCACTGCTCCCCGCTTTACAGCGCACCCCCCTTTTATACAACTCACAAACAACCGACCAGGTGTTAGCCTGACGTCATCGAATAACACGAACATTACTTTTCAACATTTTGTAAACTACCCGCAGTTATACATCACAAAAACAATGATTTATACTACGTTTAATTATATATATATACAAAATAATTCAAATAATCTGTCACGCGCGATGTTTTATTTCCTATAGCCATCCTCGATAAATCTCTATCCAACACGAAAAATTTTTTTCGAACCAGTTGTTTCTGAGATTAGCGTGTTCAAACAAACAAACTTCTCAGCTTAATATATCAGTATATAGATTTTTTTTATTCACGCACCTCGCGGTTCGATAAGAGTTTGTCCAATTCGTGATGTTTTTTAAGAAATCAAAAAGAAAAAACTGTGTGAAATATATTTTTATTAAAGGCACTTAAAAATTATGCTACATACTATGTAAGTGATATATGTCTAACATATAATAAGTAGGCATGTATGAACCATCAAAACTACGGCAGATACATTTAAATTAACTTGTATATAACATTTTATATGTACTCACAGTATTTGACGGTTGCATTTCACTGGTTTTCCATTCTTAAGAATAAATGGAAACTTAAATATACAATTTCTTTTGATAAAGATGAACACACATTATCTGGGTCAGACTTGAAGTTCCTCTTCTTCCTAAAAAACTACTACATTGAGAATCCAGCGATTTTTAATTTTAAGGTTGTCAACGAAGCTGTTTTCACTCTGACGTCATAAATACCCTCCATCTTTAGTCTCCCCGTGACCACGACTATCGCATCCGAAACGTCAGACCGTAGTTAAAAATAATTTTTCAAATAAGTTTAACTAATATATATCGCGTTTTAAACCGGTAAAGTGTTCTATTTAAATATTTCTTTTTCGGCTAAAAACATTAAATGAATTGCTTTATATTATTATTCGATGAATAACCATAACCGCGTATGTCTTTGATCAAAGTAGATACAAGTTTTTTATGACTGTCCGGTTCAGCGGTAGGCTCTTAAAGATAACATAGAGAACACTCTTTTCTCGTCACTTATATCAAAACATTATAGACTTAACTAAATGGAAGAATTACGTTTCTAAAGCTGCCGTTTCAAGCCTTATGATAATTAAAATTGTTTTTTGTAATCTAAAAAAAAATCTTAACCTTACAATTATTATAGTATTTGCATTAGTCGTATTAGTGTTATTGGTTCTAAGAACATATTTCTTAACACCAATAGAGTGCAATAATAATATTTCTTATACTTAAAACATCTTATCGTTCCGCATTCAACAAGTAGGGTATGACGTCATCGATGCTGACGTCACCGACGAAGCCAACGAAGAAGACGTCTTCGATGAATGTCGGCGTGAAGCTGCGAAGGGTGGACAGCTGCAGGACGAGGGTCAGCGCCCTCTCCTCGTCGCAAATGGAACGGAGGGACCGCAGCACCTTCATCTGGTAGTCTTGTAGTTTTCGCGTGAGGAAGTCCGGGACGCCATCTGTGTAAGAGAAAATAATAACGTTTAGGGATTAGACACAAAAAGCTGCCTCCGCAGTTCTGTCAAAGGCATTGCGTAAAACCATTTTAATAAACTACTTAACTTTAAAAATAATATATAAAGTAAAGAGTGAGTAAAAGTATTTTGACGTTTGCGTATAACGGAACGATTTGTCTTCGAAACCATATTATTAAACTTAAATCGCGAGAAATTCATGCCAGGTACAGTGCCCACACAAATTTGGCCATTGTATTTTAATTAGTGTCTTGACAGCTATATAACTTACTAGCTGAGTCAGCGACTTCGTACGCGTAGAATAGTTATTTTGGGTATCAACTTTTGTTAATGCAAACCTCCTGTTCAACTCTATAAATTCAAGCTGTACCCACGACGTCGTCCGTGTCCCGTCGTTCTTGCAAGTTAATCTTACAAGATAGACATATACTGTCGCGGATTTTTTTTAGATCACAGATAGAGAAATCATTTTTCTCTATCAGAGTACAGTGCCCATACATATTTCTGGGTATCTCGAACCGTTTTCCAGTTAATACGACGGCATGTAAATACCGCCTTCTTTCTTTCTTAAATATGTGTGCGCATTAATATGCAGATGCTAGCTTAAATGGCTTACCTGGCGAGAAGAGGCACAATGCCCGCATATGCGCATGCTCCCGGTCGCTGATTCTCAGCTGATGCATGTTCCCCACGACCTGATGCAAGCGGGTCAGCATCGCTGATACTTCGGTGATGCGCTCGTCGGAGTAGTCAGATATTGTTATCTGAGAAGGGGCAAAATGTCATGTTTAATCATATTAACCCAGAGAGACCAAGGAAAGCGTTAGAATTATTTTATTTATTTATAACACAAAAAAGATAATAATAATACAGATGAATTTTATCGCTAACAAGCGTTAAAGTTTTTTTTTATGCCAGGAAAGCAAAAATTTAGAAAGAAAATAGAGAAAACAACATGTGCAATGTTGGCAAAATAATTAAAAAATATAAACATACAGATCTAAAAAAAGGGGATTAAATATTTCTATAAGTATCAGTTGAGCTAATCGCACTGTAGGACTGGATTTTGGTTTAACCAGGCAATAGGTATCTAAAACGATCTTCCTAGCAATAGCAAGCCCCCTCCTGTCCCCTTCTTACCGCAAGCAGTGAAGACAGGTCGAGTAAAATACGTCTGTGACCAGACACCGCGCGGGTCTTGACACCAATTTAATTACAAGAAGCTATTAAAGTTATGGGCTGGTGGTGGAATATTATTCCATTTGCTGAGTAACTGAAAGACCCCCTAAAGGCGGCCGAGTTATATTTTGGAATTCGCAACCTTCCTGAATTGAGGAGCCTCGTCTGGAAAATACTACGGCACTGCTATTTTTTTTAAAGATTGGGTTCCTTCCTCCCACTCCAAAGAGTAAGAAGCTAAGTGCAATTCTATTTGCAACATCATAGTTAGCATTTCTAATTGCTTACTTCAGGCGTGCTGATCTCGCTGCTGGTCTGGGTGTTCTGCGCCAATCTGTTGTCGGCTCGTTCCCTCAATTCCGCGTGGAGGTGGGCTGACATCATGGCCAGGAGAGTGTCGAGGCCCAAGGCCTGAGACCATCGGCATAAGCCCAGTACGAACAATTCCGCCCAGGACTTACGGAGTAGAGTCACTTGGATTTCAAACCTGAAATGCAATGCAATGCAAAAATGTCAAATAATAAAATTTTATTAATATTACTAGCTGTGGTAGCGATTTCGTCCGCGTAGAATAGTAATTTTGGGGATCCAAATTTGTTTTTACAAACCTCCTATTCCCCACTTCGTCGAACGCTTCCCGTCGTTCTTGCCAGTTAATATTAAAGAAAGACATATAGTGTCAGTGATATTTTTAAGTTATTTATAGGGAAATCATTCTTTTACGGGTATCTGGAACCGTTTTCGCAGAACACTTACAAATGGTTCCAACAAATTTTTTCCCATTGCTCGCTGTTTCTTTCCTTATTAGTCGCAGCCCGCTATTTTATAACTTATAACCTTCTTTGATAAATGCTCTTATAACGAAAATATTTTTATAACTCCAACCCATAGTTCCTGATAATAGCGCGTTCAAAAAAACTACATTTTCAGCTTTATATATTAGTAAAGATGAGAACTTACGGAAAAGCGGTGACATTGGGCAGGGCTAGCATCCAACGGGCAACTGCGCCTAGAAGTCTCGCGCCCGCTTCGCACGCGGCGTGCAAGCGCAGCGGCGCAGGCGGAGAACCAGCGGGCAGGGAAAGCGGTAGCTCTACTGATTCCGGGGTACTTAGAATACCTACTTCTTCACCTGAGAAAAATCCGTTAGCTATTAAAATTGTGTACTGGCTGTAACGGCCATTCATACTATAAAAACTTTAAATATAAAGCCTTAAATGTTGTGTTGAACCAAACGAAACTTAAATCCTATACAATACAGGAACGTACTTACTCCAAAATACCTATATCTCAAAAAATCTAACTGATTGATAAGTTGGTGCCTCAAGAATCGATAGACGTTGGTGATGTATGATTAAGAACTATCACGTATGGATCACGAACCGCCGTCCACAGATGAAAAAGCGGTAATCGAGAACTCAGTCTGTGGATTTTCTAATATCCAATAAAATAAATCGACAGCACATCTTTTCAAGATGCTATAGCCGGGGGTATTTAACCTAGAATCAAGTGAATTCCATACTTATCTGTCCTCCTCAATTATAAAAAAACAGACACAATAAATTGTCTGTTTTTTATATTATAGTCAATTTACCTTCATTCTGTTGTGTGTCAGCTGCGTGAAGAGAAGCCATTGGCACATCAGGTGGGGTCGCCGCGTACGCAGATTGCAAATATTCGTTTATTGCACCTGTTTTAATAGACAAATCAATAAAACACCGTTTTCCATATTAAATAATTATAATAAGACATAATTGAGACACTTATTTATGTCCGTATGTTTAGGTGTTTTAGATCCGAGACCTTAAGTTGCGTGCATATCGATGTTTTGCACTTAACTTCAAATTATTTATTTATTTAATTCTTTATTGCAACACACACAAACACAAAGTGTATATACATGTTTCCTTAAAAACATGTTATTAATAAAAAGATAAATTATTTTTACAAGTTATAGTGTGGAATGGGCTTTTGTCTACTCCAAAAGACAATTTATTCATATTGATAGTAAAATACCTCTTGAAAAAATATTTTTGTATGAATGTACCTACCAAATTGTCCCATTTTAAAGAGATTCTTAGCGAGTTGGGTCTGCAACATGATCTGTTGGCGTCTTGCTCCTTCTAACTCATTAGCTCCGCTACCCAAGTATGGCGACACAGCTACAAATATGTAAATTATTTATATATTACATACATTTATTACTAGTTTGGGAACTATATTATTTTCTCGATAAATGTCCAACAAACACAAAAATAATTTACAATTCAATCCAGTATTTCTTGAGATTAGGGCATTCAAACAAACACTTAACCTTTAGTATATATTAGTAAAAATAAACTGAAACTAACTAAACAAAATTTTCCGCTTAAACCTTTGATAAAATTAATAATTAAAAAAAATAAAATAGAAGTTATAATAATAGAAGAATCGTTATAACCTGGATTTCCTTTATTAAAAGCAACCGCCGCTGCAAGTGCAAAGTTTAAAGCTGGAGCAGCAGGGGACACAGCACCAAATGCTTCGCTTGATTCTTCTTTGGGGTTTATCTAAACAGATTGTAATTATTAAATTTACAGGTATGTAGCATTTACGTTGAATGTATACAAATTTTCTTTGAATACATTTTGACAAAATATTTTTAAATTAAACATTTAATTGAATTAAAAAACTTAGGCCTCGGGCAGGACTTAAACCAGCCTTATCAGCGTTCCATGATATTGCTCTAACCAATTGAGCTACCAAGTCCTACACATTATCATCGAATTTTTTCAATCCATCTATACATGCACGTTTCGCGCTATGTAATTTCGACCTTAACATTTGGGTATTAAGGTATTACTATAACCCATAGATCTAGAGTCTAAATCTCATTATCGTTTTTTTTTTAGTGCATACCTGTCCTTGAGAATGATTAGCAAGTCCTAACAGCTTGGAGTAGGCGACCTGTCGTTCGTGGACATCCCTTTCACTCTTCACCTTTTCAACAATTGGCTTCCTTTCGTGTTGAACCGCTGTGCGAGAACGTACAAGAATTACTGCTCATTTTTATCTCGTTATGTTTAAAATACAACTGGTGTCCATCAAGCATTCTTGAAGTTTACATCGCATTACAAAAAATGTTTTATCTAATTACATTAAATACTAGCTGTGCTTGCGTTCCCGTCGAATAATTCTTGTTTTTGCAAACCTTCTTTTCATAAATTTAAGATGTTACTCACAATTCCGTCGTTTTTGCAAGTTAATCTTAAAAGATATAAATATAGTGTCGCAAACATTTTTTTCATCAATTAAAGAAAAATCATTGTTTGATACATATTTTTGGGTACCTTGAACCATTTTCGCAGTGTCCCACTTTTCCCTCTGTCAACACATTTTGTCTTTTGACTTTTATCAACTAGGCCTACACAAGATATCACACTCAATATTCCCATTACCAATACAGATTTTCCAGAACTAAAATATGTTTCAGAAAAAATATCAATTTGGTCTCGGACCTTGTGGTAATTGTATTCATAATCTAGTGATTATAAGCCATACATTGCTAAGCCAACAAGTGCAACATGGTAGCATGGTGTATTTTTACCCATGAGTTTGAAACCGTTATGTATAAAAGATAACTTTAATTCGAGCTATTTTGTGCATTAAAATTAAATATGAACAAATAATTAGACTACTTCTTAAAATGAATCGAACTACTGTTTGAAAACTTTAATATTTTTTACATGCTATTGGATATAATGGCACTATATAGATTAAAAATTGAAAATACATTGAAACAATTCTGACTTGGGTAGAACTTTATTTACGATTTTTAATGTATGTAATTCAATTACAGTCTATAGTTTACACAAGTAACACCAATGGAAACGCGAAATTTCTTAGTTACTTTGACTTTAACGCAAATATATCTAGTTTTAAACTGTTTTTTATTATATATTTATACATCTGAAGTATCATATCAAAAGTCAGTACTCACAGTCGCTCCTCATACCGCAGGCCAAGCACTTCTGTAAACGGCAGTACTGGCACCTGTTCCTATGGTGTTTTGTCACTTCACAATTCATGCTACCTCTGCACTGATAGCCAAGTTTCTTGCGGATTGACCGTTTAAAGAAACCTTTGCACCCTGAAATATTTTTATCTATTAATCTTGTTGTTAGGCATATGAAAAAAACATTGTGTACAGTGCCTTTTTGGCCAGGCTGAAATTATTTGCGCAGAACACCAAATGCAGGTATCAGTTGCAACAAGTTCGGTGCCCAGGTACAGGGTGAATCAACTTTGGCTTAATATTGAAATACCATGCGCAAGATGGCGGTCACACTACTTCAGCCCAACCAAAAAGTTTGGAGAGAACTGTAACTAGAGATGACATAACAAGTAATCCCCAAACACAACTACACTAACAACTAAAGTCAAGTATTTGTTTTTGTTTATAATGTAACTGTATTAGGAGTTTTTTTTAAGTTTTCGGGACGAAAGAAAACAACAAAAATCAGGTGATCAGTTCACATTTTCAATCATTGAAGTAATAAACCAGAGAACCATTTCACCTATTTCATTTGGGACAGTAGTCTTCCATAGGACAAAATCCTTTGGTTAGAATTTTAGTTAAAAGTTTTCACTACACTTATATAAGAGTTTAAGTATAAAAATTAAGTAAAATTAATTACCTTCACAGCTAATAGCACCATAGTGTCTTCCTGAAGCCCTATCACCACAGACAATACACAATTCCATGCCACCGACTTCATTACCTGGATTGTATTTCAATTCCATCTGATCCTGAGCATCCATAGTGACTAAAAATGATATAATATTTTTTATATTTTGTTATTTATCTCTGTGTACACAATTTTAATGAGTATTGATAGTTTCAATTTGTATCCTTAGTTTATATTATACCTTCCCAAATCAATGCTAAAATAAAAATAAAGTCAACAACATTGCATTTCCGAAGTGTCACCAACTGCATTTAACTAACAACAGAATTCGAAAACACCTTTCACTTTGAAATATAACATGAGTAACGTGAAATATATCAAAACAATGCATTAATTGTAGCAATAATTTGATGCAAATATATCAGCAAAATTTTACCCTCGCATAACTACAGCAAACAGTTATAATTACATTAGAAAAAAACCTAGCTTTTTACCTTACGTTGATCCAGGAAATTGTCTAGAAGGTTATCACTTTGAACTTAGTATTGCACATGCACCTTTAAGTAAGGAGATCAAATATAATGTAGTGTAGACGTCATGCTTTAAAATTAGTTGTAATAACTTAGAAAAACTAAGCAACACCAACAATAACTTAAATTTTAGGTAAAATCTATCAAAAGAACTACAATTATCGCACAACGTCAACAAAAAATGACAGAATCAATCACAGACAACATAGGATTAAATATTTAATATCAAACTCACCACAGGTTTTATTGTAGATAATACTGTGTATTTTATTTGCCCACAATTACAATGAATTTTAAAGTATTAGTCATAATTATAATATATTTAAAAGTAAAATAAAAACTTTATCTTAGAAGTAATGAATAGCCATATTTCAAAATTGGCAATTTGACATATGAGTTTTGACAATGACATATTTTTCTTACTATTGAAATGTGTGTGTCGCACGTGCTTATATCGAGATCTTAAAAATATTTTAAATATATTTACATTCAACATTCATTACAGTTAGACCTCGGTACCGTTTACAACAAATGTACAATGCAGCAATTAGAAGAAGTAATTGATAAATTCAGTGATCTTACTGCAAAACCAGTAAATTATTTAACAGTTCAAAATGACATCAGGGATAATATTAAAGATTTGGTTAAAACCCTGTATGACTTCACAAAGTCTCAGGAAACGAAAAATAAGAAGAAAAATAAGCTCAAAGGTATCGCTTTACCGAAAATGATTGTTGATGAGTTCGACGAGGAACAAATATGGCAACAAATCGAATTACAGAACACTGAGTGTTGGGACCATTTAATCTGGGAAGTTGCCAATTGCATTTCCAACAAAAATGACTTAAAGTTCCCTATGGAAATTGTAGCAGAAGAAAATGAAGTCACACATGAAACATCTTATGAAACGGAAGAAGAAAATTCATCATCAGAGACAAATATAGCACCCATTTCTAAGAAGTCCATAGTCAAAAGTAGTACTAAGCCTCATAAATCATCAATTGTTGATGACAAATTCTTTAAATTGCAAGATATGGAGCAATTTTTAATAAGTGAAGAAAAAATGGAGGAAAAGGGAAAAGGTAGAGATGAAGATGAAGAATCTATTGATTTATTTGAAGATATAGATGATGAGGATTCAGAAGGTGATCAAGACATGATGTATAAAGACTTCTTCAATGATGAAGGCAATGATGAACTTATTGAAGAAAATGGAAGGGAAGTTGAGGATACTGCAGACTTAGAACAAAATTATTTTGATAATGAATTGAATTTACCAGGCTCTTGTGAAGAGCCACAAGATTCTAAGTCTAATAAAACAGATAAAAAGGTTAGATTTGCCGATTTACAACCAGACAGTGAATCTGAAAGTGATTCAGATGATAGTATTGTAGAAATGCAGGACAAAGATGTTGTTAAGGATGAAAAGAAATCTGAGTTTGAGCAAAGACAACAAAGGCTCAAACAGCAAATTGCAAGACTGGAAGAAAAAACCTTAAAAGAAGCTCCTTGGCAGCTTAAGGGAGAAGTAGATGCAACAAAACGGCCACAAAATTCATTGCTAGAAGAAGTTGTTGATTTTGATCTAACTACACGACCAGCACCAATTATAACGGAACAAACAACAATAACATTAGAAGGTCTTATTAGACAAAGAATTAAGGATAAGGCTTGGGATGATGTTGAAAAGAAGGAGAAGCCTATTGATGACCAATTGTTATTCAAGAAACCAGAAATTTTAGATCATTCTAAAAGTAAACTCAGTTTAGCGCAAGTATATGAAGCTGAATATTTAAAGCAGAAGCAAGCAATGTCAGGTGAAAAACTAGATGAAGAAGAACCCGAGAGTCATAAAGATGTTCGTGAGTCGATGTCAAAGTTGTTTTCAAAGCTTGATGCTTTATGCCACTATCATTACACTCCTAAACCACCGCAAGCTGAAGTCAAAATTGTCAGTAATACCCCAGCTATTTCGATGGAAGAAGTTGCACCACTTGCTACTAGTGATGCAGCTCTTTTAGCTCCAGAAGAGGTAAAGAAAAAGCAAAAGGGAGATCTAATGAGCAAAGAGGAAAGAACGCAGACAGACAAGAACAGAGAGAGAAGGAAAAAGAAAAAGATGCAGCAAAAGAAGGGTCACGTACAGAAAGTAACGGATAATAGGAATACAAAGAAAGGTGTTGAGGCTAATGATAAATCATTAAAGACATCCAAAGCTTTCTTCCAGCAGTTGAATGATGAAGCGAAGAGCCTGATTAAAAAGAAAAGGAAATAAAAGTATTTCTTAGTTGTATTTGTATTTTTTCTTTTCCTTTAATCTTAATAATAAACTTTTATATAGAATACTTTATAGGGGAGTAAGACAATTATCTCAAACATACATAATATTATATCATTTTGCTTTTCTTGATTTAATAAGTATATTATTTTCAATAAATTAAACATATTCATATAATAATAAACGACATTAATGAACATGAGAATAACGAAAAGTCCTAAGAACCTAAACATAAAAATGTCATTCATAATTCTGAAATATTTTCATTCGAATAAAAAAGAGTATAGACGTTGCACAATTGACTTTGTCATCTCCGTGCTTCGATTTGTATTCTTTTAAATTACTTTAATATTAGTTAAAATGATAAACAAACAAACTACAATATTGACTTTTTCTGAGGTTATGCTACGTAAAGGCTAAAATAAATTTGATAAAACTTTTTCAATTGGCGGCGAGTTTCTTGCCAGCTCTTTTCATTCGTTCTTCGACGTCCAGTTAAGAGCTGGTAGGTTCGTAGTAATGTGAATATAAATTTCCTAACTCGATTTACGTGTCTTTGATCTTTAATTTGCAAAAGTGTGTGTTAATAAGCTGAACTGTTAACAAATTTGAGAACTAGTAATAGTAGTTCGCATTTAATTAAAATAAGGAAATATTTGCACAACACTCTAGCGAAAAACAGAAAATACTCGTAGCGAAATGAACCGCCAATGTTGAAGCAAAAAGAACTAAAATTAAAATAACCCGCTGCAACGAAAAAAACCAACGCAATTCCAAGCTAGCCCGCTTTTGCTAATATTTGGCTAAGCTCTTCGGCTTTGTGAGTTTTACAAAATGCTTTTTATTAAATGTATCAACATCGGGTTTTAATTAATGAGTTCCTGTTAGTATTTAGATTAGATCTTTTGCGTTACATTTAGCTATAGCATTCTATAATCTATACTAATATTATAAAGAGGAAAGATTTGTATTTTTGTATGTAAAAATGTACTGGACCGATTTTAATCATTCTTTTTTCATTAGAAAGCTACATTATCACTGAGTACCATAGGCTATATTTAGTACTCGATTACTATAGATATCTATAGAAATTCTTACTAAAACCAACGGAAGGCGTAAAAAAATTAGCCGTAAAATGTCTTTCTTCGCATACGCTGCGAAAAGTATTAATGATTGGACAAAAAAATGTTCGACAACATTATAGAATATATCTACAAAAAACATCGCGAGAGCATATGTCTAACTATTATAGTTACGTAACTATAACTACTTTTTTACATTTGACAAATTAATGCTGCACTTTAACGGTTTAAATTAAATATTTGCTTTTGTATTATTATTAGTTTATTCTTAATTTCTCTGATTTAAAATAAATATCTAAGAATAGTTCCCAAGCGTGATAGCAAAAGTTCATCGTATTGGAGAGTCTTCTTCTGAAAATGATAATGATCGCCTGGGAAGTACAAGAGAGTGTACCAACGTGTGTAGGAGAGTGTAGGGTCCCAATCGCGAGCCAGAGAATCTGTCGAATATTCAGGTTCGTCTTGCATAACAAAGTGCAAGATTGTCGCAGCGACTTGAAGGAAATAGAGCTAGGAATTCGCGAACGCGTGCACGGGACTCTTAACACTAAACGCTCGCAGCGGCTTCTGACACAGGGAGATAGACAACGGTCGTTAACAGCTAGGACGCGCAAAACTTTTTTTTCTAATTTAGTGATTCATGGTCGTTTTAATTAGCATGCTTATAATTTAAATATTTGTACTTATTTATGTCTACCCGTGCGAAGCCGGGACAGGGCCGCTATTTACAATAAAATACAAATATTTTTTATTGTCAAAAAACAAGAAACTAATTAAAACAATAAAAAAATTTATTGCAATCAAGAACAAACGGCGGCTTTATACCTAAACAGTTATCTCTTCCAAGCAACCGCGGTAGAAATTATGATATGATATGATATCGATAATATAAAAATGAGCTTAACTAACTTACTTAAATATAGATAAATAGTGGGACTTACCAGTGGGACCATATTGGGACTCTTCTTATATTAAAATTTTTATAAAGTCGTATTAAACCTTCTCGTTGGTTTTGAATAAGTCAGCTTATCACGAGGAAAAGAATACAAATGTATTTGCAAATCAATTTACATTGATATGTTTTTTCTATTGATGCGCTGAACTCTGCTGCTATGACTCGGTAGATTAATTGGTGAGAGCAACAGCACGGAACTCTGTGGATGCCGGTTCAAGTCCTGCCCAAGGCGTTAATTTTAACTTTTAAATAAGGTAACTTTAATCCAACTAAAGTGGAAAAAAAATCTCTTCTTTTATTACAATTTAACACAAATGTACAAGAATGATAAATAGATACCTAGTAGAAGAAATATAGGTCATACAACATTGGGTCGATTTTTTCGATGTACCTACTAGCTGTGCCCGCGACTTCGTCCGCATGGAATACATACTTAGTTATTTTGGTCCACGTGCCGTCGTTCTTGCGAGTTAATCTTAAAGAATGGACATATTATAATGACCGTTAGTAAGGGACATTTTTTGAGCCTTTTAAAGATTAATACAATTTTTTTGGTTTTTTGAATAATTTATAATCTTTGAAACAATTTTCTCCTGTTCTCCACATTTTCCTCTATTTCTTCGTTCCTAATAGTCGCAGCCTGATGTTTTTTACCGTACTTAAAGTCTTCCACGATAAATGGTCCAACCATTACAAAAATAATTTTTCAATTCGAAACATTCGTTCATCAGCTTAGCGCGTTCAAACAAACAAACGAACTCTTCAGCTTTATAATATTAGTATTTATAGATAGTATATAGATACTGTCTATAGTTTACGCGAGTAGTACACATTTAAATAAAAGAAGTCGAAGTGTGTATTTGGCGAGGACCCGGCCAGTTTCGCCAACCACCAATACCAACCACTACCACATACCAACTTCGACGGAACAGATGGCGCTAGCGTAGCAATTTTTTACTTTGACGTCAGAGACATCCTCCATCTTTAGTCTCCCCGTGACTACGGCTGCTGCAAAGCATCCGAAACGTCGGGCCGAAGTTAAAAATCATTTTCAAATCAGTTTAACTAATATATCGCGTTTTAAACCGTTAAACTGTTTTATTTAAATAGTATATAGATGTCATACATTACTTTAACGCGATATATATTATAAATCGCGTTTTAAACCGTTAAAGGGTTTTATTAAAATATAAACGCCCTAATAAAATGGTTTTAAAGTGTATCACGTTTCCAAAAATAAAGACATCATCTATTAAATATTATTAGACCTCAACAGATGAACATTAAAAGTTTATTAATCTGCATACGTTGTAAATAAATAATCCCTGTGTGCGGTGAGCCCGTTCTGTTGCCATAGTTTACGTACAATTAATAAACACTTGCTGTTTTGAAAATTGTTTTATACCTACTGAATACACGTCACGCGAGAGTACATTCTTTACAACAAAGATACAGACGGTCCATAATATAAATCATAATACCATTTATGGATCTAAATAGACTAATCTACAGTAATATTATAAAGCTGAAGAGTTTTTTGCTGAAAATCAGTGTTGTAGCATAGCCGTGCTGCAACTCATGCTGACGCAAGGCCCTTTTGGCATTATTTTTAGTAAAATTTAATTTAATCTTGTCGTAGTATTATTATTTTACTTTTATTATTTTTTTATTGTAATTACATTGATTTCTACTACTGCTTCTAATGATTGTACAAAAAATGCCAAATAAAGAGATTTATTACTATTAAGAGTTAGTTTGAACGCGTTAATCTCAGTAACTGTTGGTTCGAATTGTTTTTTTTTTGTATTGGTTTAAGCATTTCTCGAGGAAGGCTTAAAACATCAGGCCGTGACCCTTGAGGAACTTAAGGTTTTTATGAAACCATTTTAATGACTAGGTATTGTTTGTGAGTATAACAATATAAATAGTTCTAGTATAAGTCGTATTCGGTTTTAATTTACTAAATTTTAATTAAGAATTATTATTGGTCTACTGAAAATTATCTAAACTGTGATGCGACTGTAATCCGCGTCGCAGCGCTCGGTCACATATTTATAATTTGTACAATTACCACAGCCTAGACAACGCGCGTAAAGAGCTTTGCACATTTAGACAGACTGAGTTAGCCTTTAACAAATATGTATCGTAAATGAATCTTTTTAAATAAAACGTCACTAAAGTTTAAAACGCGAAATATACTAGTTAAGTTTAAATATATGAAATCAATAGCAGCTCAGTGGGCAAGAGCAACAGGACAGATCACTTGGATGTGGGTTCGACTTCCGCCTGCACCTCCTCCACCACAACCTCCAACCAATCACATGTACCTACTCGGGAAATCCTGACTAAAAGCTTTCATCTGCAATAACATGTGGAAACACATGATGTTTTTTTTATTAAAAATAGAATACCCACGTCACATTATTGCATGTAATTTTGTTTATTACCTACTTTATGGAGCCAATCAGAGACTATTTAATTTTTTATTGCTTAACTTTCTCGAAGGTTCGTGAAAAAAAAAACAAAAAATGGAAGGTCTATAAGTAATAAAGCGCAAATGAAGCCACCATCAGTGGGCTGCAGCGAGCAGACAAATAAATTCAGCGCGCGATAAGCGTCGTATAAATCAGGCGACAGTACCGCGGCCGCTAAAAACACCGCGCTTTTCTCGCTTCAGGGTAAGAAATGGTTAAAGTACCTTCTCGAACGTTAAAGGCTTGGAAATACAGGGACGCCCATTTATCTATGTATTGGTAACTATAAACAAACTAGTTGTTTACAATCTAACACTTTATACTTGATAATTGACTTACAAACGCAAGTCAATTACCAAATGTTTGCCTACCTTTTCATCTTATGTCATTTATAAAAAATTCTAAGGTAAAATTATAAAAATTAATTTAAGTTGTAAAAAAAGATAACTAGCAGTGTACTTTGTTTTTTACGTGTGTGTTTTAGAC